AATTTTAACATGTTTAAATGAGGTGCATATCATTAGGTATTAAGTCAAATATGGATAAGATGTAAAATATACACTGAAATTTGATCTGCAGATCAGATTCACAGGCACTTGCATAACACATATACGGCCCGTAAAGATCCTGGGTAGAATAGGTCTTCAGCAACCCATGCTTGTCGTAAGAGGCATTGTACATTTTATTTACATCCTTAAAGCGGCTATATACATGATGTGGATGTCTTGTATAAGAAATAAACGACTCGTCGTTTAACAATAAAACACTGCAGGGAGAATAAACCACTTGGGGTTTTAAGATTAAAAATGAATGTAATTTGGCAGAGGTACAACGTTGACCGCAAGCAAGTCCACGTAGGAAAGTGGATCGCACTATCGTCTGGACTTTCCAAAGCGACAATGTATGCTGGTGGATATGTACGTTGCTTCGAGGATGTAATGTAACGTATACATGGTGGGCCAATCAGATTACGTGACGTGAAGCGGTTATCACCCCAATCTCTAAAAACTCAGCACACACTTGCGATGTTATTCATGGATCACGAAAACCAGGACACTTAAACTTAGATATGAAAACAAAAAGATTTACGCGGATATGTTTTTATGTGAGTTGATGACGTGTAAGCACACGAATACATGGGACACTGATACAACATAACAATTGTGACATATCTGATTGATAAATTCACAACATATATAATATGAATAAGGGAACATTTCAGAAATCATAAAATATCATCAAGATAATGTGTCGTAGAGTATTTGTTTAAAAATTGACCATTGTTCACTACACATTACATTCAACGTATCATACAACGTACCACAACCGTGAAGACCCGGGATAGAATTGATCTTCAGCAACCCATGCTTGTCGTATGAGGAGTCTAACAGGATCGGGTGGTCAGACTCGCTGAATTGGTTGATGCATGTCATTGAATCCAAATTTCGTAAATCGATGCTCATGATGATAATCACTGGATTGTCTGGTCCAGACTTGATTATTTACAGACCGCCGTCATATAGCTTGGATATTGCTGAGTGTGGCGTTGAAGAACAAACAAAACAAATACAACGCACCGTGAACATGAACGTTTAAACAATTCAATTCATATTTGATGATGATTTGACGGTATCCTGTAACCTTACAGTTGTAGAAAATACTTGTTTGTAAACTCTATCTTTAAGTAAGAAACAAATACACGTTTATTCTAAATATGTTTACATATTCTCCAAAACATCAATGCAATGTTAGTGAGAAGAAACATGACTTAATAATATTGTACTACAACTACTACAACTGCTACTACTAACTACTACTACTACTACTACTACTACTACTACTACTACTACAGGGGCGGTCGGGTAGTCTGGTGGTTAAAGCGTTCGCTCGTCACGCTGAAAACCCGGGTTCGATTCTCGACTTGGGTACAATGTGTGAAGCCCATTTCTGGTGTCCCCGCCGTGATATTGCTGGAATATTGCTAAAAGCGGCGTAAAATCAAACTCACTCACTCACTACTACTACTACTGACCCGTGAAGATCCGGGGTACAATAGGTCTTCAGCAACCCATGCTTGCCGTAAAAGGCGACTATGCTTGTCGTAAGAGGCGACTAACGGGATCGGGTGGTCAGGCTCGTTGACTTGGTTGATGAATGCCATAGTATCCATATTGTCTGGATCGATGCGCATGACGTCAATCACTGGATTGTCTGGTCGAGATTCGATTATTGACAGACCGCAGTCATATAGCTGGAATATTGCTGAGTGCGGCGTTTAACAACAAACCAAACCAAAAAACCACTACTACTACTACTTCACAGTATATTGACAAAGCAAAATGTCGACTTCCTAAAGCATATGCATGACGCTACACTATATTTTGTCCGTCAACCTATCAGTGTGCAATCTGATTTTATAAACAGCCCCCTAAAATGTTGGTACTCACATCACCCTTTCATCCTACCGGGTATCCATTCGCTACTGAGTGGATAGGAGTAGATTTCGAAAAAAGTCACCGTCCAAGGAGTGACAGCGTGTTGTATTAACCTATGCTTTAGTGTTGGGTATAGTACATATAATCTCTCAGGAGTCAAACGCGGGCACCAATCCACAAATCTATGCTACCAGCGTTACTTACGCTTCGCCTGATTTGTGACCTATGCACCGCAAAGTACGAGATACCAACAACACATTATTATTTACGTTGTGTAGACATTTTGTGTTCGACCGTTGGGGAAGTAATATCGTGTATTTATCAACCTCAAAGAAAAACTTCTCAGGAAACCTAAGCTTGTCGTAAGAGGCGACTCGCGGCATCGGGTGGTTAGGCTCACTTCTCTGACTTGGTTGATGCATGCCAGCGTATCCCGATTGCGTAGACCAATACTCATGATATCAATCACTGGATTGTCGGGTCGATTATTTACAGACCGCCATCATATACCTGGAATATTACTGAGCGCGGCGTTAAACAACAAACTGACAAGCTCAAAGAAAAAAACCCAATGATCCATTTACGAAAGGTGAGCTACATGCCATGGGTAATGTTTTCATCTGCTGTCAATATAGATATATATATAACAATGCCCTCGGGAGAGCCTGCGCACCAATACCATACTGTATAGATCCGAACCACGCCCTCAACTTATATTTATTCCTTTATATTTTTTTAATATATTTTTTTATAAATTTACAGATGAGAAATCTCAACATTATGGAAGTGTATAAAGTAATCAGTGGGTTGTTACCGTGATATTGATATGCTGTTTGTGAATATTGCAAACGAGATACAATCAAGGCGTGTAATAGCTCATAATGTCAAAGACAAACATTCCACAGCGCGATATGCGTCATAATTCACCAGAGTGGTAAAACAAACGATATGACACCTACATATCGATGCTCCACGAGACAGGAACTACAAGCAGGGGGTGTTGTTTCATTGCAAGGCCATATGTTTATCCCATACGTGTCACATGCTGTGCGTATGGGGAAGGGCCTTTTCGCATTACAATGAGAAAAAATTGAGAACAATTTACCCCCTTAGCTATCATTCTTTTAAAGTAGGAGTGAGAAATAATGTCAAAGATTTATCCAAGAATGTTTTCTTGATGAATGTCAGAGAAAAAACTGGAAAATATTTCTACGTCCATCAATTTCACATTCCTTGAAAATGAACAAGCGAAATCGCAGTCTGCTCGTGACAAGCAGATTACATTTGTCTTAATCTGCGTATTGAAATTCACCATGAAATTAGTCAATAGGCAAAAAACTACAATCAAATGCCGTCAACTTTGAACAGGACGGTTCCTCGAAGTTGTCCGGACACACATATTACCTTACATTTATGGATTAATGAAATAGAGATTATGGTCCGGGTGTGTTTCCGTACATATCTCATATCAGGATTAAAAACGTGGATAACTACATGGCATTACGATGCGGAAACACAAGAGGATAATAATAGCTTCATCATCCGATGTCATTCTTAAAATAATAAAGATTCACTGAAGGAATTTAATTCACTGAAGTAACTATGGAAACCGCGTATGAACACAATGCTGGAGATAACTGCCCCGTGAATCTCATATAGTGCCGAATGATTGAAACCCATGTTTTTCTACAGACATACCCACAAATCGAGAAATTTGTCGAGATTTATTAGGAACGTAATCCAATGGTTTATTGAGAAAGTAGACAACGCATCGATACACGGAGATTATGATAAATATTTCTACACTATATATAAAAATGTTTTTAGAATGTAAACACATTCAAGACCTATTTGAATCTAAACCTGTTTTTGAATGTGTTTAAATCCCTAAACGGAATACACGTTTGATATGTTTTATCTAAACAGGGTCTTAACACATGAAATGAGCTATCGTCCCACAGCCTTAACGCCACGTAAACACACCATCCCCATAATCTAAGGGGGCACGGGTGGCCCAGTCGTCTAACTTATGATTGTGGGTTCGAATCCCGGTTCGCCCCGATTATGTTTCTAGGTTTGTCAGCACCATACCAGTGCTCGTGGGTTTCACCGAAATGGTAAACGTCTGAGACCTGCATCACTTCGGGCTTTCCTCCCACATTAAGCTGACACGCCGTGGTATGACTGGAATACTGTTAAAAGCGGCGTTAAACCCAACCCACCCATAATCTAAACATGTTTAGACTTTAATATTGCATCCTCTGGCCCAACGTTCGATGATCAATGTTGCGTTGGTCAAACATTTACGTAGACCATTGCGCCAAGGGTGGCCTAACGTTGCCTGCAATCTGGGCTTGGCCTTGAAATGTGGTCCGAAATGTGTATACATACACTGAAAACATCAGATAGGTCTAGTGTCGATGGGTTACTGTTGCTTCTCAAAGGCCACTTGAGAGATGTAATAAGGGGAAAGAATGAGGGATACCATCCATTTCACACAGTCCGTAGTAGTAAATCGTATCAATATAAGGGAGATAACGTTTCCTGTCATGGATTAGTGAAGCTGGAGTTATTCCCCTTGAAATCCGGCCCATTTTGTACAATAGCGGGAGAATAAAGATGTAAATAACCACAGCCATCGTTAATGAATTAAGTGCATTTAATATTTTTTGAACATATACTTACCGTATATCCTAAGAAACCATCATTCAATCCGTACTATTATGGTAAGGGGCGATCGGGTAGTCTAGTGGTTAAAGCGTTCGCTCGTCACGCCGAAGACCCGGGTTCGATTCCCGACATGGGTACAATGTGTGAAGCCCGTGATATTGCTGGAATATTGCTAAAAGCGGCGTAAAACTACAATCACTCACTCACTATTATGGTTATTTAAGAATAATTTGTGAAATGATGTATTGGTGTGACATGATATGATCCTACTTTCTAAAACACCAGTAACTTCATGATCCAGCTGAGCACACAAGAACATCAGACTGCAACACTTCAGAACAAAACAAAACATACTTTAATACGCCTATAACAAAACATAGATCTACCAATGGTTTTTTTTACCAAAAAATGTTATTGAAAAGTACTTTGTTTTCAATCAAAGCACATGCTAATATTATCTAATGTTTAAAATTATGGATATAAGAGAGGACTTTGTCAAATTGTAATAAACAGGATTGATTCTGTATATAAAGTTCGGCAAGTTCTAAGCTATTTCTTGCTTCATGTCCATATAAACAGTTTATCTAGCACACGAATAATTTCTGGATCCATCTGAACACACAAGAGCAGCAGGCTGCAACAAATGACTGTGTCTGCTGGGACTCCACAGAGGGCTGTGGTTTTTCTGTTTCATCAAGGTCACTCAGATCAATCTCCACAAAGTCAGCTGTGATGACAATGGGAACATATGCCGGCTGAGGAGAAGGGTCGGGTAAGGGGATCTCGGTGACGGGCAGGGATGTAAGGGGGCTGGGCCAAAACTCAGAATCAACCCTTGGGTGCTTGAAGGGAAAGAAACAAAATCCGCAAAATCAATATAGGACATTATAGGACCAAATCATACTTGAATAGTAAACCCAAAAAATGTGGTTAGAAAAATCTATGAAAGGAGGAAAACAAACGACGCTTTATGACAATAATCCACTTTAGATGTGTCAGAGACACAAGTGAGAAAGTAGGTAGTGCAAATAGAAACAGTTAGGCCCAGTTATTTTTTAGGTGTTTTCATATGGTAGGCTAACCGGGAATGGGCCTCACTACGAAAAGATCATTAACTTTAGCTTCCTAAGGCCTATATCGACACTGATAACTTCAACTAAAGCCAATAAGATATGACGGGGTGCAAATAGGCGACATTTGGGCCAACATCATGGTTGTAAACAAATGTTAACACAGTGCTCCCGCGGGGACCTACTATATGAGGGACAGGAGGGTTCATTTGCGACACAGCCAGGCTTGGTGTAGAAGGCTTGACTAGTTCATCATGAGCTGTGAGGCAAAAATACAACATTGTACTTTGTAGCTTACAATTTCACGCTGCCATAAGTTGTATTGTTTTAATCAGTCCACTTGTCAATCTTACGAAATGTGAGCAATGCATAAGAATTGAAAATTGATTTAATAATTAAATATCAAATGTAACAACTTTGGTCCAGATTATCCGGGAAACAGAAGTGACAAAACAATGTTTAACCTAATTTTTATGTACACAGCTCAGTGAAGTCTGAAGAAAAAGTTCACATCAGCAGACCTTCACACTAAGTGAAACTCCCGACACTCAAATAAAAATCTTGCCTTTTTATCCAAAGCGGAAACAAATAAATACCGAAACCAAAGAACCCAGAAGACATGTATTCAATACCTTGGTGGTAAATGCTTGCTACGTTCGCAAACATGATTCACAAATCAAGATAAACTGTCAGAAAGTAAACTTATGCAGCGAATTCGATGGATCTAACGTTGTGAAGTCAACAACAAAATGGCGTCGTTTAAACTGACAACGTCACCAGGGAGACTTGATCTCGCGAGAGTAAAGGAAATCACGTCATTTTGGTGGTTCTTGGATGCCTTGGCGCTAATAACACGTGCGCAACGTTGCCTAGTCAAGTTCCAGACTATCCACCTCCGTTCTTCGTCAACATGACACAGAAACGCAGCTCTCTATCCACCGGACCCGTGAAGATCCCGGGGTAGAATAGGTCTTCAGCAACCCATGCTTGCCGTAAAAGGCGACTAACGGGATCGGGTGGTCAGGTTCGCTCACTTGGTTGATGCATGTCATCGGTCCCAATTGCGTGGATCGATGCTCATGATATTAATCACTGGATTGTCTGGTCCAGACTCGATTGTTGACAGACCGCCGTCATAGAGCTGGAATATTGCTCAGTGCGGCGTTAAACAACAAACCAACCAACCAACCAATCTCTATCCACCGGGGACGGTCGGAAGGCCCGGGTTCGATTCCCGACATGGGTACAATGTGTGAAGCCCATTTCTGGTGTCCCCAGCCGTGATGTTGCTGGAATATTGCTAAAAGCGGCGTAAAATCAAACTCACTGACTCACTCTATCCACCGGATCTTAATGGAAACCAATGATGCTCATATTACAAAAAGTAAACCTACCAGTTTTATACGTAGCGTTTCAGTAGATAGTCAAAATCAGAATGGCGTCAATCGAACAGACAAATTTCGAAGGTGCTCCAAATTTCGGACATCACTTGGGAAAACATTTCTTATCATCAAACATTAAATTCGTGTAAATTCACTTCTAAAGCAATTGGATCCAATAAACCATATCTGCTTACCCTAAAAGGCGACTATGCTTGTCGTAAGAGGCGACTAATGGAATCGGGTGGTCAGGCCTGCTGACTTGGTTGATGCATGTCATCGTATCCCATGCGTGGATCGATGCTCATGATGTCAATCACTGGATTGTCTGGACCACACACGATTATTTACAGGCCGCCGTCATATAGCTGGAATATTGCTGAATGCAGCGTTAAACAACAAACAACAAACCATATTTATCACAAAAGCTGACTTAAGAAGTCGAGTGGGTGAATGTTGTTTTATACAACAGTGAGTAATGTTCAAGTCGCGAGTCTTGACCTTACAATCAAGGGGTTGATATTAAGAGCCCGACCACCTCGTATACGGCAGGCATACCTTGTTTACTTGGGACCAACTGTGTAATATCGTGTACGGACATCTTCCCGAGGCAAGTGAGTTAACTGACTATAAAAGTCCAGTTTCCACCCTTGCCGAACTAGGCTCGTATTATGGAGTTACATTTTGGCTGGACCAACGAGTTTATGCATAGTCCAATCCAAATCGCGCACCGAAATCGAAATCCGGTTCGTAAAGTGTCATGCAGATTTCGGTCGACTGCAGGATTTGCAAAGCATGTGCACCGCTAACTCGATGTCAACAGATTTTTTCTAAATCTTTTCATGTTTTTAATCAAGGTGCTCACGTGATTTGATGCACTTCGCGATGTAAGACTCGTTTTATCACAATATCTATCTTGATTATCGATCAGATCGTCTTGAGTGGGTGCCACCGTTTTGTTTGAAGCAAATGCATGTGATACGAGAGGTTGAATCTGATTGGTCAATAGGAGAGGCATAGAAAGGACATGACTCGTAATAGCCACTGGTGGCGCTACGATCGAGCCCAGGAATTCCAGTCTAGTTCGGCAAGGGTGGAAACTGGACTTTTAGAGTCAGTTAACTCTCCTGCCTCGGGAAGATGTGTACGGATGGCGTGTCACTTTACTCAGGTTTTCAGGTTTGTCTGGTCCAGGCTCGATAATGTCCATACCGCCCTCATATACACTACAACAAAATGTGTTTTGAACACATACAAGACATATTTAGAGTTAAAACATGTTTAGAATTTAACCATGTAAAAAAAAAGTACATATCTTTGGGCATTATATAAATTATAGATAGATGTGTAATATATATTGAAATTTGATATGCAAATCATATTCACAGGCACTCGCATAACATATGCACCACCAGGGCCCTAGGCCCACTTGCACAAAGGGACCGTATCGCTACGACGATCGTACCTCGCAAACTTTAACGCAGACTTACGGTAGTCGTTGCTCTAAGAGCGCTTTGTGCAAGTGGCCCCAGTTCCACAAAGGTGATCGTAACTCCTATACTTTAAGCTTGGCTTACGACAGTCATAGGGTTAAGATCACGTTGTGGAGCGGGACCCTGGACTTGGTACAATATCAACATACAAAAAGGTACAAATAAACCAAGCTTATTTAATGGTGACTAGGAAATTGACACTTTTTTACGACAACAGAACAAAAGAATAATATACGAATTGCGACAACAGAGTGTGAGTAAGCTGGGTTTAACGCCGCTTTTAACATTATGCCAGTTATATCACGGCGTGTCAGCTTAATGTGGGGGGAAAGCCCGAAGTGATGCAGGTCTAAGACGTTTACCACTTCGGTGAAACCCACGAGCACGGGTATGGTGCTGACAAACCTAGAAACATAATCGGGGCGAACCGGGATTCGAACCCAAAATCATAGGTTTCTGGCGTGCCCAGGGGACGCAACTCTGGACAGCGAATCGCAGCGCCTTAGATGACTGGGCCACCCGTGCCCCCGTGCGACAACAGAATAATATGCGAACTGGTCGCTGTATGTTGATACCCAATTCATAACAGAGAACAATGTTAATGCCGCCCTAAACGGGAGCAATGTGTGAAGCCCACTGCTGGCGTCTTCCGCGTTGATATTGCTTGAATATTGGTACATAATCATGGTCTTTGAAATCTTTTATTATACAATTTATTTCTCTCCTCTAAATATGTTTTTCCTGATGCAATAAACTTGTAAATATTGATATTAACGAACACATCTGCATTAAAGTCTGTATGTATTTCTGTAGTCTGTCTTACAGACCCTGATACAAATATATGTCAAATACAGCCCATGCAAGTCTATAATGTTTGGCAAGTCTAGATTACTGCAGTATCTGAAAATGAAGAGAGTCACTGGGCTCCCTTTTATGTATATTTCATATTAAGATAACTGAACAACTGTTTTTTCTGTGCGATATGTTCATTTCAGAGACTAGATGTTAGTCTAGTATTTCTGGAAATAAACAACTTTTCAGGCTGTGAAGTGTTTAAACTGACAAACAATTGCGTCCAAATGTCGAGCATCTTGCAACAGTACTGAACGCTGTAGATTGGCGTAACCTCTCTGCGAATCTCTGCAATCTGTTGTACCAAACGCTTGTCGAGGATACCACTGGAATAGATCCCATTCTAAACACGATCGGCCATTTCTGCTGAAAGTAGTTGGCAGTCACGGAAGGGGCCATGTTTGCCCATTGGAGCAGATACTGGTTCGACGATCCTCATGCGCAGGCTCCTTTCATTCGTGACCAACTCGTGTTATTCCGGGACAAGCCGAATAGCAGGTTACCCATCGTCATTCGTCGTTTCTTTCCGTAACAAGTACCGGAATGACACGAGTGGGCATTATGTATATGTACCTTCACCAAGCCCTCTTTATGCGGACCTTCCATTACTGCGGCCTGAAACTCCACCATCACTGACCTCAAGTCACCGTGACATAAACTGACGATCGAGTACGTGACAACACTATAATATAGTTTGTTTACAACTCTATATCTTAGATATTATCTCAATCATTTCCGACCCTACTCCCATTAAACCTTTAATAATCAGCATTGTCAAGTAGTTGTTCCACTTCATTCGGTGACTGCCTATCGTGGATGTATTTTACGTACTACGTCACACTTGGAAGTTCGTGCAGTGCTGCCATACTGTAGTCAATGGGGAGGATACCAGGAATACAACACAACAACAGAACTGCACTTGTGCTGTCTCAGACGTGTCGCCAACATGTTGAGATCATATTATTTTAAAGTCACTGAAATTATACTTTCCGCTTAGGATAGGTGATCTCTTATACAGGTTTATATTTAACAAACGCATTCCTAAAATAGACAGAACAGTGAGGATATGACGTGTGCATGCAGTTTCCTGCTTGTAGTGTCAAAGTCTTCACAATATAGTCTCACAATCATACAATTTCGTATTTGGTCGTTTTAAACTTCGACATTGATTGTGTGAGTACGATTGTACGCTGCTTTTAGCAATATTCCAGCATTATCACGTCGGGAACACCAGAAATGGGCTTCACACATAGTATCCATGTGGGGAATCGAACCCGGGTCTTCGGTGTGACGAGCGAACGCTTTAACCACAAGTCTACCCCACCACCCCTGAAAAGAGTAATTGATTTCATGGTTTAACGCCGCTTTGAACAGTATTCCAATGTTAGGCCACACTTGGCGTAAAAATGGTCTACGTAAATGTTTGACCAACGCAACATTGATCATCGAACGTTGGTTCGGAGGATGCAATATTAAAGTCTAAACATGTTTAGATTATGGGTGAGTTGGGTTTAACGCCGCTTTTAACAGTATTCCAGTCATATCACGGCGTGTCAGCTTAATGTGGGAGGAAAGCCCGAGCATGGTGCTGGCAAACCTCGAAACATAATCGTGCGAACCCACAACCCCATTTTCTGGCATGACCAAGGGACGCAACTCAGTACAGCGAATTATGGTGCAAAAGACGACTTCCCCGCCCCTGAAAAGGATAAAAACATGACATCCATACACGTCTTCAACAATTCCATAAATTTCTTTTCTGAATTCTTAATTACACGTTCTGCAGGTTCCCTGACATCAATTTGGATTCAGAAAGATGGCAGAAGGTCAGTACACTTGTTTTTTTCTGTCAATTGGACGTTTATATATCTTAAGTTGGCGACTTGGGCGTGAAACAGCTGGTCACAAATGCAATATGTCATCCCTGTGTACATATGTCAGATTACAGACATCGCTGTATTACCAAGAATACATTTGGCCACATTTAGTAGAACTGTGAAGCTGTTACAACGAGACAGTTATGCATTTTTATCACAAATCCCAGACATTGTTCAAGAATAAAATCTGACGTAGAGTGAAATATCCTTCCATGATAAAACATCTGCCAGCTATCGTGTTACAAGTGATCTCTTGTGTTGAAACGCCCACATCACGGTGGCTGTGAGGAGTTTGTGGTTTGATATGCACGTCCAAAAGGTCGTGTAGAGGATGTGTGGAGTTCAACCCTAAAATGATCACATCAAACACTATTTAATGTATCAGAATGCTGAGTTCACTGCGGACAAAATCTAAGAAAAATATACATTCTGAAATTTAGATAGTATTTATTGCACGATGAACTCTGATGAACTGCTTTATCAAATCAATTTAATCGTAGAAATGTGTATATTTTATTTATATTTATTTATTCATGTATCGTGTTCTAATTTGTAAAAGGTTTTGTAGTGAAATATGTTTTAAATATCCAAGTGTACTAAACTATTTTAACGGTAAAATATATGTCACTTTGTTACTACCCTCCCCAAAATTGTGCATCTATTTCACGATCATCATCTTGCATAGGACATGGTTTTGTTATGTCCTTCCCAAGCTTCAGGAAAAGTAGGCACATATAAAAATGTGATTTTACCAAATGAGATATAATTTCCACGACATGACGTCACCATAAAACGGGACAATTTTTCAATCAGATACATGTGTTCCTTTTCGCGGTGGAATGGAACCTAATCTTTAGTGTGACAAGTAAAGGCCTTATCTACTTGGCTACCCCACCGCAACTTTTGCAGTTATTGTAGTGAATGAGTAACTAGGTGAATATTGTCTAAGGCTATTGTCAGCAATAATTCAGCAATGTTTTATGCCGCATGCAGTCAACGATATTCCTGCTACTGGCGGCCTGTACATAATCGAGTATTGGTTGTTTAACGCCGCACTCAGAATTATTCCAGCTATATGACAGCGGTCTGTAAATAATCCAGTCTGGACCAGACAATCCAGTGATTAATATCATGAGCATCGATCCACGCAATTGGGATCGATGACATGCATCAACCAAGTCAGCGAGCCTGACCACCCGATCCCGTTAGTCGCCTCTTACGACAAGCATAGTTGCCTTTAGAACAAGATTGGGTTGCAGAAGACCTATTCTACCCTGATCTACAAGGGTCGAGTTAGATGGACCATGCAGACAAATCAATCTACGCACGAATGACTCACGAAATATGACATCTGCAAAATCGCAAACCAGTGATTGATATCATGAGCAACGATCTAGCAGATGTCATATGACGAGCAACAAAAGCTGCTTGTGACGTCATAGTCCCGGTTGAATCCTTATAAAAAAAAATCTTCTCGTCTCGAACAATATATACATCGAAATTACTTCGATAGTCCATGAATTCTAGCTACCGAGGTGTAACTGTATTCGGAACACACACACACACACACACACACACACACATACACACACACACACACACACACACACCATTCAACATTTGCTAAGGACCACAATAGTCAGATTTAGTCCGGTCCTTAGCAAATGTTGAGTAGTATATATACACACTAGGTCCACTTGCACAAAACAATCTTAGCGCTACGATGATCGTATCTCCCGAACACTTTAACATAGACAAGACCGCCTCCGTGGCCCAGAGCGTCCGCCCGGAGAGCGGAAGGTCCGGGGTTCGATCCCCGGCCGCGTCATACCAAAAGACGTTAAAAGATGGTACTTGTTGTTACCCTGTCTGGCGCTCTGGGGCTAAAACAAGGACTGGTCGGCTCGGAGTTAGTATACTGTGTCTGAGTGGGGTATTCATGTTAAACTGCGGCATGATATCTCAGTGTGCTAGCACTATAAATCGGCAACAGTCCGGACTAGTACAAGCAGCCACACACACACACACACACACGCACACACGTGCATGCACGTCGCTATATAAGTGCAATAATCTTGGACGCGACGTTAAACCCAATTTCACCTCACCTCACATAGACATACGATAGACGTAGCCCCGAGGTCGCTTTGTGCAAGTAGAACTTTGAGATGACTTAATCAGTAGGTGTAACAAAGTAGAGTAATTGAAACGGTTTTTCTCGGCAAATCTAACACAGGATTCAAAATCTTATAAAAATACTGAAACTGTTCGACGCTGTAATGTGATCACATAAATAATTAGCGTGTAAGTGGCATCCCGAAATGTACCTGATGCCCCCTGGGAGAGACGACGAAAGGGCTAGGTGTGACTTATCGGGGTGATATCAGTGCGACACCCACGTGCAGATATCCAGTGTGTAACACTGATCTTGATTGAACGTACGTGTCATTTAACGGTGGGTACCTTCGTGCTATGTGGTGAGACGCCACGGGGCTGAATGGTCACAGGATACAACACAGAACTCCCGATCTCGCTAATTGGCAAATTGAAGAATCGTTTTTAAAAAAGAAATAAAACAGGATTGGGGGTCCGACGAAATAAATAACATACGGACACGTGAAAATGTTTTAACACATCTCTCTCTCACATACACACACACAGAGGGTGGGTAGGTGGGTGGGGGTTAAAACAACACTTGGATTGTTTTTTTAAAATTTGATACACACTTCCATCATTTCTTGATTGTGAAATGGAAAAAGAATAGTATTAATGTATGTATGTAAGATCATTCGTGAACATGAGTACAGTAGACTGGAGTTAAATATAAATAACAACAACGCATGTTATCAATTAGCAGAGTAAAAGCCGCTCGTCAGATAAATACACGTTTCTTTCGTCAATATTAAAGCGTTGATAAATGATTTCATTCCAAAACATTCAATCATGGAATCCGACGAGAGACGACAGTAATTGACACTATTTGGTATGGTCCAAGTTCAGGACTTATAGAAACAAAATGAGTATGGTCTTAATGAGTTTAGTGTGAAAAATGAAGAGTTCCCGCAAGGATGGTGTTATTTCACAAGTGATATTTCTTCTATAGGTGTTTTACTTAAAACAGATTTATACGCGTAACATGAACTCCGATCGCGGAGTTACTGGGTGTGATGTGATACGGCTGCCTTTTGTTGTTGTGGACTTTGAAGCTCTCATAAAATACAAGTTAAGCCCTATGTGACACAATAAACACACAATCGGTGTTTTGCGTGACGAACCAACCAGGGTCAACTTTTATTGGGTTGTTTTTTGTGTGTTTATCTTTGTCCTGAGTGTGGGGTTGAATACTTTTTCCCGCGATCGGAAAATTTCCAGCTTTTCTTCGTGATAAACGTTTATATTTTAAAATGTAATGTATGCAGGTCGCAGTGAGAAAAAAAGAAATGTTTAACATCGCATCGTGTTCCAGTCAAATACCACAGACGAAAACAAAAACAACAAATAGATTTCTAAAACTAAAATAAATAGCTTACTTTATTAGGAAATGACAAATTTAACCATCTGGAAACTATTAAAAATGAACAAAGTTTAATCTATGATAAACATGATACAGGGTTTTACATGACTTACAAAAGTGGGGGACCGGGGACCATCAATAATTACTCTAAGGGTCCTTGCGGGCAATATGAGGGTCCAATATGAAGTAATGAAATGGTGTAGTGTACTGTACGTTTTGAAAAATACTTTATAGCTGAGACGAATTAATCATTATGTGGACAATGGTAAGGATTGAAAAAAGAAGTACCAAACACTCATAACTGCTCTTGATGTGCTGTGGTAGACTAACATCTAGTCTCTGAAATGAACATATTTTACAGAAAAAAACCAATTGTTAAATTATAGTTATAAGGTATAATCAAAAGCAGCCCAGAGACTTTCTTCATTTTCGGATACTGCAGTAGTCTAGACTTGCCAAACATTATAGACTTTCATGGGCTGTATTGGATATATTTGTTTCAGGGTCTGTATGACAGACTAGCGCTGTGGGTACAATGAATATTAATGTGCATCCCTCAGGACGCAGTATATTTGTTTCTGCGTCCATTCTATATATTTGTGCGTCGCGTAAAATCCAGATGATGACTAAGCTATACTGTCGTAGACATCTTGATAAAACATACATTGTTAGTGTAAACACTTTACACCAAATTCCCCAAATAAACCCAGGGACCACTTGCACAAAGCGATCTTAGCACTACGACTATCTTAGGTCTATGTTGGAGTATAGGAGTTACGATCATCGTAGCGCTAAGATCGACTTGTGCAAGTTAGCCCTGAACAACTTATTTTTTATATATCCAGTTACCTTTATGAAATTTATTTTCTTATTTTATTGACAAGAAAAGTCTAATCTAAACCTTAAATGGGTACATAATAATTCTTATACAAACTACATTAACGGCCATGAGATATACCTGCAGAAGCCTTTTAGGGTCATTTGCTTTATTATTATTTTCTTGACATTTGAAGATGCTGTGCTGAAATTTCAAGACACTGAGTTGACATTTTGTCACCACTAAGACATGTTCTGGTATAACTGAAATATTGTGCTACGCGACGTTAAACCCAACTCACTAATTTAAATGAATAATTTTTAGTTTGGGTATATCTGTTAAGATTTTGGAGCCTTATAACTTTCAATGTAGGTGACATAATTCTTCACAATATGAATATATGTTTACACGCCGTCATATAGCTGGAATATTGTTGTGTAGGGCGTTAAACAGGAACAAACAAACAACATGTTTGCACGGGCAACATCTGACGGGGGCCCTGCAAAGATTTTATAAGTTTTCTAAGCGTACTTTTCTTATATGTGGACATGTAAAAGTATTGACCAAAGCAGGGTGTATAGATAAAAACAGATATTGGTATTCTGTTCGTTTTGGGTCACGGACGTACTCACGGTGATTTTGTCTCTTGATGTTAAAATACTCTGCCCTTTCACTCATTTCAGAGTTGACCCAAACGTGCTCAAGAGTTATCTACCTTGTTATTTTGCGCATGCGTGACCGGATGTTACAACCATGCGGACGCGGTGAAACGTTTCGAAAATAATACGCTGATTTGGCGTTTGAAATGTGTCATAACTTTGCAGAAACATAACATTCTAAGAGGATAATAAGCATACAAAATGGTTCGTCTAACGGCTGAGTTAATAGAGCAGTCCGCACAGTACACCAATCCTGTGAGAGATCGCGAGTTGGACATGAGAGGTGAATGCAAAATTTTGTCAATATATAAACAACATAATGTAGAATTCTTTATGCCTAACTCTGAATATGCTGATACTTTGCTAGTGTTTGCCTTCCTTTATTATCATTCCTTCAAAGTTACTTAACTCTGCGGTAGAGGGTATGATCACTTGTCCTACTTCAAACCACTTAGAATCTAGAGCAGACTCTGACAAAGGGGTATCAAGGCTCTTGGTGATTTTCTATTAATATTTCTTAATCCTGTCATAGATCTCGGTCTTTGAAATAAATTAGTATCAGAATATTAATCAGATAATTATCACATGAAACCATAAACAGGATGATTTTCTGTATTATCAAAGCACAGGGGCTGGGGTGGGGTACTCCGGTCGGGTGGGTTTTGAGATGGACCCGGGTACCCACATGACTACCTGGACCCGTGGATGAACATATTGATATATTGTTTAATGACAAAAATGATCTGGAACTAGATGGTTACACTACAAGTCACAAATGTTCATAATTCTTACTAACTATGCACCCATTCCTTCTGGCTTTTATGTGTTTGAATGAAGGTACAACTTCAGTATGCATGACCAGACAGTACATGTATATCTAAATACAGTTTGCCAGGGCTACAGTCAAACTATTTCAGAAATTCAATCAGACATCTTTGAGACCGTCAGCGGGTTCCTTTGGAGAAACATATTTAACACATACTGCCATGTTGAATTTTACTGTGGTTTGGCATCCAAGACATCATATACATAAGCGTTCAAAGAACCAGTTAAGGGCATTGTGCAATACAGCCTGTGGCGAAATGGACTCATCCTCGAGTACCCTTCTGTATTCTGATTTTGTCTTGGGTACATTTTTGTATGCAGAAACATACCTGGGGTATATACATCTGTAGTACCCCTGCCAACAACGACCCCTTCAGCCATAATAACTGCATATATTGGCAAAAGGATCATCAGAAAGAAAGTGCACATTGATTAAAAAGGTATGAGAGGAGGGAAATTCTTCTCTTTAATATTTGGATGATGTATGTCGGGATTACCATGCTGGTTTGGGGACTCAATACCTTTTGCGATATATTGCAAAACGATTTATGCTGATTGTGGCATAAAAGTACTTAAACAGCAAACAAGTTTCATTGCTGATATATTACAGTGTGATTTGGTTGAGCATGCTTGGTGAGGACATCATTTTCAAAAGACCACTTCCAAAATTTACAGCAGTGCTTGAAAAAAGATGACAGGCTAAGGATCCCCATGATCACTCTGGTGTTAATAATGAAGAATCAAAGTGTTCAACATATTTAGAGTGTCCCAAATACTGCAGAAAAACCAAGTATACCATGACCTTAATCATGTTAAATTCAAACACTGTAACCAGTGAAGATCCAGGTTAGAATAGGTTTTCAGCATCCCATACTTGTTGTAAAAGGCGACTATGTTTGTCACAAGAGGCGACTATGTTTGTCGCAAGAGGCGACTAACGGGATCGGGTGGTCAGGCTCGTCGACTTGGTTGATGCATGTCATTGTATCCCAATTGAGTAGATCAATGCTCATGGTTTTAATCACAGGATTGTCTGGTCCAGACGATTATTTACTGACTGCGGTCATATGGCTGGAATGTTGCTGAATGTGAATGTTAAACAAACAAACAAATCAAACGCCATACAGACTGGTATGAATTGGTGTAAATGTCTAGTTTTATCTTTACTGTGATTACAACATTGTTGCTAATTGTTTTTGTCTTCAATTATAGGCTACAGAATACCAGTCATTGAAAATCTGGGTGCGACATTGGTGAGTATTTGGTAACCATGTGGGGGATGCTGATTAGAACAGATGACAATTATCAGATTAGTTTCACAGCACTCTTTTGCTTGTCATAACAGGCAACTAAACATGTGATTCAGCTATCAGTCTCAATAGGGGGTTGCTCATAATATCAACCACTGGTTTGTCTTATCCAAACTTGATTTAACACAGGCCACCATGATACAGATGGAATTTTGATGATTCCATCATAAAACAAAATCTATAATAGGCACGTCTGGCTGTAATCATTTGATGGAGGAGCGTAGCACCAACTGTTTTCTTGATATGGTTATCATGGTTATTAAGTTGTGCACAAAATATTGTAACATGTATTATGCATATCAACCATCAATTGATGCCTTTCAGTTCTGTTAAAGAGATTTAAAAATATATTTTGGCTTTAGTCATTTATTAATCATGTTAATGTTTTTAGGGTCATAATGTCAATTCGTACTTGCTATACCTTACCGTTTTTATGTAGAATTGACACTGTTTGACATTTTTCTCTAGGACCAGTTTGACACAATAGACTTTTCTGACAACGACATTAGAAAGCTGGATGGATTCCCGCTGCTCCGGCGACTGAAGTCTTTACTCTTCAACAACAACAGAATAGTGTGAGTTGGTGTCTTATTCACATGGTCATTTATCATTTGGGGAAGCAGGGTGAGTTTTTAGTCTCCTGGATGAAAGTCCTATCCGAAAGTATGGAGAAGTAGGTTAGAAAGGTAGACCAATTTAGGATTTCCAAGAGAATATGTCCATGGGCTTGATGTAAGCATTGAATGAATTCGGGAAAGGGTAACCTTAATGAGTGCTGAGTGAATAGTGCTTTCATCAAATTCATGACCAGTGTCATGCTGACTTAGCCATACAGTAACATGTCAGTATCAGATCATCCTCAATTATTCGCGCGGCGGGGGATATAGTATTCACGACCGTCCGTACGTACGTCCGTACGTCCCACCTGTTTGTTGCCGCGATATCTCAAGAACTAAACACTGGATTGTCTTCATATTTGGAACTATGGTGTATATACAGACTCCGCAGACACCAGTCGGTTTTGGAGACCTTGATCCCATTTTCAAGGTCACAGCAGGCAAATCTGCTTTTGGAGTTAGAAAACGGTGTTGCCGCGATATCTCAAGAACTAAACACTGGATTGTCTTCATATTTGGAACTATGGTGTATATACAGACACCGCAGACACCAGTCGGTTTTGGTGACCTTGATCCCATTTTCAAGGTCACAGCAGACAAATCTGCTTTTGGGGTTAGAAAACGGTGTTGCCGCGATATCTCAAGAACTAATCGCTGGATTGTCTTCATATTTGGAACTATAGTGTATATACAGACACCGCATACACCTGTCAGATTTGGTGACCTTGACCCCATTTTCAAGGTCACAGCAGGCAAATCTGTTTTTTGGAGTTGGAAAACGGTGTTGCCACAATATCTCAAGAACTTATCGCTGGATTGTCTTCATATTTGGTACTATGGTGTACAGGCGGGGGATATTTTGTCACTCTGTGACAAATACTTGTCTAAATTCTATTGTGATAACTGCTCTGGACCAATTTGCCACCAAAGAGTCATTTTAGAAGGTTGTCACCATTTCTATCCCTCTCATCACTGACATAACACATGATTTCTCTAGCTCATGAGTGTGATTTGATTGGAGGCTATTTTGAGTAAAGTGTCTTTCAAATACTGTTCAAAATAAAGCTTTGGTACTGGTATCATATTGGCCGAGGGTATTTAGCATGATGGCTGATGAAGGCTGGAGTGATGCTGACAGGTCTGATGTGTATTTGTTGTAGTCGTATAGGCGAGAGACTGGAGGAGAGCCTGCCCTACATGGAGACATTGATCCTCACAAACAATGGTCTTCAAGAACTTGGGGATCTGGATAACCTGGGTTCTCTCAAGACACTGCAGCATCTAAGGTATTTATGAGGATATTAATCATCAGTGTCATTGGTCTGACGTAGTCAATGTAAGTCCCACTATAATGGAGATTACTACCTCAGACTTGTTCGAAGAGCTTATTCATAATGATCGTGTGGTTACAGATTGTGACCTGTGTTAATATACCCTGCATTGCTCAAGCTATTAACCATATTTTTGTCTGGCTTGGAGACAATTATTTACCATGTTTACAGGCAGCTATGATACAGGATATTGCTAACCACAGCATAAAACGACATAAGTTTACTGATTGACTGCACTATCAGGTACATTTCATTGCAAGGAGATTTATTACAATGCTATTTTGATGAAAGAACAGAGGTTATCATACAAAACTGGCTCCCACAGGAGATATCGCTTGGGTGAGATCAAGCGATATCTTCATTGTAGATATCGCTGCAATGAAATTGCATCACAATGCTTTGCAGACCATTGTGACGTCACAATCAAATGACATCACTAATGGCTCTGCTACTGAAGCTGTTAGCAGTGTTTTTTACACTTCATACATTACTGTCTGCTGAAAAGGTTGGAAGAATGATGTTGGATGAAAAATAAAATCTCACCCTTGTGTCTTTTGATATCAAATATCAACACTCGGTGATATATTTGATATCAAAAGACACATGGGTGAGATTCTCTATTTGTTAAAGTTGTGCTAAAAGTGTTTTCAAAGGAATATATTCAGCATGTAATCCTTTATGCTTAGCATAACTGCTGACACGTGAAAATCAGGTGGTTATGGTAACTGACAATTCTAAGTTTTAAACTTGTCCTATCTCACACTATGCATTTCTTTTCCTTCTTTCAATCCTAAGTGGAAACGTGCCTAAACAAAGGTTTCCAGCTTCTTAAAAAACAATTCACCCAAACACACCCAGCATCATCATGTCACCTTCCCAGCTGTCTGGGTCATGCATGCTGTTCTTGCATCTTTCATTCAATTTTTTACAGCTTACTACGGAATCCAGTGACAGCCAAGAAATTGTACAGACTGTATGTAATTCACAAGTGTCCCCAGCTACGAGTACTAGACTTCCAAAGAATTAAATTGAAGGTGGGTCATCGTTTATATGGTAAGTGGAACAGTCATGGATTGGTCTTTATATACTACTCAAAGGAAGTTAATGAACTCTATTTTTCATGTGATTATAGTTAATCTGTCAAGTGAACAGTATAGGTGACTGATGTCAGATATAAAATTTCTAGTTTTACTGTTTGATACAAGTAGGCATGGTCTACAAGTGCAGTCTGAGGTTTCATGGCGTGTCAGCATCCTGCACGTGATCATGTGTGTGGGGAATGTTAATGACCTGCATCACTGCGGGTCTTCATGCCTCATCAAGCAGACATGTTGTGATGTAGTGGAAATACTCTTCAAACATGTCAGAATGCCATTAAGCCAAACAGTTATTCACTGTTGGGGGTACAAAACCCACTTTGCTGTGTGAAGTGGAAGCACAGGTGGCCCGGTTGTCTAAGGCACCACAATGAGCTGTGCAGAGTTGTGGCCTGGTTGTCTAAGGCACCACAATGTGCTGTGCAGATTTGTGGCCCGGTTGTCTAAGGCACCACAATGTGCTGTGCAGAATTGTGGCCCAGTTGTCTAAGGCACCACAATGAGCTGTGCAGAGTTGTGGCCTGGTTGTCTAAGGCACCACAATGTGCTGTGCAGAGATGTGGCCTGGTTGTCTAAGGCACCACAATGTGCTGTGCAGAGTTGTGGCCCGGTTGTCTAAGGCACCACAATGTGCTGTGCAGAGTTGTGGCCTGGTTGTCTAAGGCACCACAATGTGCTGTGCAGAGTTGTGGCCTGGTTGTCTAAGGCACCACAATGTGCTGTGCAGAGATGTGGCCTGGTTGTCTAAGGCACCACAATGTGCTGTGCAGAGTTGTGGCCTGGTTGTCTAAGGCACCACAATGTGCTGTGCAGAGTTGTGGCCTGGTTGTCTAAGGCACCACAATGTGCTGTGCAGAGATGTGGCCTGGTTGTCTAAGGCACCACAATGTGGTGTGCAGAGTTGTGTCCCCTGGGCACACTGTCTGATCATGGGTTCGAATCTTGGTTTGCCCTGTTAAGTTTCTAGGTTTGTCAGGATCATGCCTGTGGGTTTCACCAAAGTGGTAAACATCTACATAATCTAAGACCTGTATCACTTTAACCTTTCCTTCCACATTAAGTTAGACCGAACTCACTCACTACTCTTTGTCTGGAACCAATCTAAGATGTCAGTTCAATGTATTATGCGTCAAAGCTTTTATTAGGTTCAGCCAAATTGAGTGACTTTTTTATAGCTCTTATAAGTTTCGTATTTACATCAATATGCCTTATCAGGGAATATATATGTGTCTGTGTTGGTAAATTAGTGTTTAAGAGGATGTGGTAATAGATATATTTCTTGTCTGTTCACAGGAGAGGGAATTGGCAGCCAAGACATTCAAAGGCAAGAAGGGACAACAACTGGTGTCCGACATTGGTAAACGCAGCAAGACATTTGTCCCTGGAGAGAAGTTGCCTGAGAAGAGAGCTGCTGCTGCAAGTTTACCCACAGGCCCGTCCAGGGAGGAGATAGAGTCTATCAAGGTTGGTCTGCCTACTTCATTGAACGGTAGCCTAGTGGTTAAAGGGTTCGCTCGTCACGCCAAAGACCCGGATTTGATTCCTGACATGGGTACAATGTGGGAAGCTCATTTCTTGTGTCCCCCGCCGTGATATTGCTGGAATATTGCTAAAAGCGGCGTAATACCATACTCACTCACTCATTGAACTGTACTGTCCTTGGTACTGTCACCACCATACATGTGTTGTTGTGTTCACCAAATTGGTAACTGTCTGCAATCTGTGTCACTTTGTATTTTCACTGACATGCAGTTACATAGCTGAGTACAGTTTCATATGTTCAGATGGGTGCACAGGTGAACTAGACCATCTGAGGTGCTGCAATTCACTGCGTAGAGTTGCGTCCCTTGGGCATGCCAGAAACATATGATCATGGGTTTGAATCTAGTTCGCCCCAATTGTTTGTCAGAACCATGCCCTGGCTCATTGGTTTAACCAAAGTGGTAAACGTCTGAGACCTGCATCTTCTTGGGCTTTCCTCCCACATTAAACTGACATGCTGTGATATAACTAGAATACTGTTCAAAGCCGTAGTCACCCAACTCATTCACACCCATATGTTCAAAGCTATGTTGCATCCAACTTACTGACATATGGATGAAGTATCTTCTATGAGCTAGTTTTTAGCAAGGATAAAGTTTGGCTGGTGGGATTTTAAAAGCATATTTGATTTGTCTATGCTTCTCAACTTTTGATAGGGATTGGGTGTAACGAGGTGGGGTCTGAATGTGACTGATTGCTTGGATATGTTGTCATACGAATAGTATTTGATATTCCCATGGAACTGAAGCATCATTTCAAGTAGATTAAACAGAAATACACAGATCAGTAACTTGTTGTCGTGTCACAGTATGAAGTTTTTGATTTTGAACACTACTTTTACATTTATTTCAGATTTAGTGTAAAACACTTCTTTAAACTCAAGAAAACCTAGTGAGTGTGTTATTATTTTCTAAGTCATGTTAGCATGGTTAGGACAACAGCTTTAATGTGATGGATTGACTGATTCCAGAGAGCAATTGCCAGTGCTAAAACACTGGAGGAAGTGGAGAGGCTGAACCAGATGCTGAAAACTGGCCAAGTTCCCGGGAAAGAGTCTGTCCCAGTGAAGAAGAGTAGAGGTAAAACAGGAAGTCCTTAACTTTAGATTTATGTGTTACCCTTGGGGATTGAACATGTTGAAAAAAAAAGCCTCATTCGAAATGAGCTCCTGACTGTGGCTCCTTTGTGGACCAGAGGAGGGTCCCAGGTAGAAATTTTTTGTTTACCTGCCCTGATTTGATGATTACTGGCTGTCTTAACAAAGGTGACATTGCCGACTGCTGCACATTAAACTCTGTCAAGAAGTGGATGATCATCTTGCATGCCTAACCTTAATGTGACCTTAGGGGCGGTTGGGTAGCCTGGTAGTTAAAGCGTTAGCTCGTCACGCCGAAGACCTGGGTTCGATTCCCGACATGGGTACAAGCCAATTTCTGGTGTCCCCAGCTGGGATATTGCTGGAATATTGCTGGAATATTGCTAAAAGCGATGTATAACCATGCTCACTCGCTAATGTGACCTTAATGATAGTTTGGCAGTGTTCCCCACTGATGTGGATTGATTTGGCTGAAATATTGTGGACTACAGATAAACGTGTATTGGTAGAAATTAGCCTGAAGCATATACCAGCCAGAATAGTGAGCATGTATAAGGAAACTCCTAAGAGCCCTGAAAATCTACTAAAATCAAATTGAAAACCTTGTCATGCTGACAAAAGGGGGTTATGTTTTGAGATTGATTAAATGATAGAAGATATAAACTGAGCTATGGTGTGTGTTGCAGGGGATGTGGAGAAGGAAGAAGAAATGGATACCTGACACCGACGCTCACCATCATGTTGAACTCTCATCACTATCATCATCATTTTGTTAAACATTGTTAATAATCATGGTTGCAGATTGGTAATACTGTATAGTGGGATGATTGGATTTGGATCACTTTGTCTTGCCCTGCAAAGGTGTACAGGACTTTCTAGAAAGCATCTAAATGGCAAGGGAGCTTACTCTTGCATGACTAACTGAAGAAAGAATACCTCAGCATTAGTTTGTCTTAGTTTAGCATGTTAAGTTTATTTTTCTTTAGGACTTTCTGATAAAATGAAATATTCTTTTGAAATTTTGAGGGAATTTTGTAAGGTGGTATTTCTTTGGAAAGTGAAGAATATTTTCTCTATCTGAATCATTTGTTGATATATATATTTCAGTAAAGCAGTTGAGCTACAGTAATATTTCATGCATGCAGTATGAGAGTTCCTCTAAGATGATGTTCTCATTCTTTTAACAGATGAGTGACTGGGTCCACAGAAGGCACTGCAAACCAGAAAACCATATATTTGTTAATGAAAGAGGATTTTTAAAGAATATTTTGTAAAGATTTTATTCCGTAGTAACTGTTGATATATATCTGAAATTTTATGTTTAATTGTGAACCTCTTTCAGGGCAAATATACATACATACACAAGCTGATAAGAACAGATTGCTCTGTGTGCTATGAGAACAGATACACACTTGCATCTTGTGTCCAATAAGAACAGATATCACAAGATCCCACTAGCTTACTGTGATGATTAGCAGATCTACTAATCCGCTTGTCATAACAGATTTGCTGGACAGCTTGGCCCTGTTTTCGTTAAGTGATCTTAGCTCTATGTTATTGCTATTCCCATACTTAAACATAGGCTTACATCTTTCGTGCTAGTCACTTTTTGGAACTGGGTTTGTTATTGAAATTTCTGAAACTGAACTGGAAATAACTGTTTCTTGTTTTTTTTCCATCAAAACAAAGCTGTTTTGATTCCAAAATTTTCTCAATGTTAATTTATTTATCATGCAACATGAATTCTTCCCTGCAATGTTTGTGAGAGAAGCAAGAAGTGAAAGTATTTACCTTTGGTAATTGTGTATCAGATTAATGAGCTGAGAAGAATGACATATGTAAATTCACTTTAATGTTTGATAAATGTGTTCCAGATGTCATTTGCATATGCTGCACTGAGGATCTTTAATAAAATGTTGAGAAGCCAAAGTTGTTTATATTTTTTCAGAGGCATAATCATGGCAAGATTTGAAAAAAGGGATTTTTAAAGTCATCAAGAGGGTTTATTTCACTCCCTGTAAAGGTTGTGAATTTTAATAATAACAGTAATGAGTGTTTATGATGCGTTAGAATCCACGCTGAAAGCGCTTGCACCTTTAGTATCTAGATCAGTGTACACGCAAATATTCTCAGCTTCCTGGGGAGTATGCATACAAAGATGCCTATAAGGCACTGAAAGGTTTAGTCACATTACCGTTCACTGCTGGGTGAATCGGCATCCTTCAAACCGGTCACAAGTGTAAGGAGACCCCAAATGAAACATGTTTCTTTGTGGGGCAGGACCGAAGCCTGGATTCAAGCTGCCAAACATGGTCATCCCGCCACCTACTCCCCCTCCGCGACCAACTTAACTTCACCTGACATGTGAAGCGCTCTATACACAGGACCATGTGCCACCACCAAGAATACGTGGCCCAAGTCCTTCGGTGCTGCATTCTCATAAAAATCAGGTCTTTTATGCCAATACAATATTGCTCTGCATCGAGATCTAACAAACCTGCCATATGAGGACGTGTCAGGTGAACTTTATGCTCAGCATTAAGGCTTCTAAGTTCTTGGTATGAGCGAGCAGAGCATTCAGAGCAGCATACCTGAATTCTCTCTCCTCATGGCAACTACACCGAAAAGGGTCCACTATCAAAGGTACATATGTGTTATCTGTGTATTTTCTTATGTTAAGATACCAAATTAAAAAAAGATGGTAAAGAAATGAAGATTAATTGTTATAGAAAGCTGACATCTAATTGCCAGAACAACCTACAGAGACTTCATATATACTACTCAAAATATGTCATGGAACACCCGTTTTCTTCATATGACAATAGTTAATCTGTCATGGCTGGTGGAATTGCAACACAGCCTTCTAATTGTGGGTGCTCTTTAACTTGTTTTGAGTAGTAAAGGTTGGCCTGTCAAAATTTGCTCAGGGTTCACAGACAGATCCTGAAACAAAATATCCGAAAACGCCCAAGTTTACAAGACTTTGGCAAGTTTAGTTTCCTCACTAAAGATATTCTCTGGAGTCCTTTCTATTCTTTCTTATAAAAACAATTTAACAGAAAACCTTAAAATATTTTCATTTGGGTTTAGTTAGTATATGTGACCAAGGGAGGGTTTGTCTGATTTTGATAATGATTCAAACACAAGTCAATACAGCTGAACTACTGTTCAAATCAGTGTTTGCATGAGGCAGCAACTCACACATCTCAAGTTTGGTTTGTTAAACGCCACACTCTGCAATATTCCAGCTATATGACAGCGGTCTGTAAATTATCAAGTCTGGACCAGACAATCCAGTTATTGACATGAGCATCATCCACATCACATGTGTTCCGACAGAATGCCCCATGCCTTTGATTTTACGGACTGTGCTATCAGCATACAACTCTATTTTGAGATTTGTCTTACGATAACATATATCTCGATGACTAAAAATAATACATTGATACGAACTACAACTGGCCTGATAATGGTAGGATTATTTTATTTATCATATAATGGGTAGGTTTCTCGGCAGGATAAAGCCAACGGATAAAAACGATATCCGTTGGGGTCATATGCGGATAGAGATGCAAATATCGAAGGTCAAGTAGCGACTACTTTCACTGTTTATAAACAAACATGGCGTCGCCCTCGTCATTCGGCGATCGAGTCAGAATTAACCATCGGGAATCTGGATAAACTACAGGGATAATTGCTGTTATTATCAAAAGAACAGTCTAATATACTAAAAATCAGTGTCTAACTGTGACGTAGCTAAGGCATTTTATACGTTTTGGCAACTTTGGAGATATAAATTTCGAAACAATTTTGCGAGGGATAGAGGCCTAGCCAAGCGGGATCAGTAGCCATATCTGTGCTTGTAGGCCTCTGCGGCTTGAAACCTTCTCCACAAATTAAAATCGTTGGATTTGGACGAAATATGTTTAAATTATTACCATGTTTCGTTTTGTTGCTGTGTGTACATCTGGCTAATCTTCTTAACATTATGACAGACCGACTGTCAACAACGTCTGACCGTGGCCGTGACGTCTCATAGACTAGGGTTAGAGTAGCTTCCCTTTGACAAAGGGCAGTTACTCTAGCGGACAGACGGATGGATTGCCGCGAAAGGCAAATAAAAACAATTGTTGTTTTGCGTATATGTTCCTTCGCCACTGTATAAGAAACAGATTTCAGTTGGAACTATATTGGCTACTGTCACTGACACATCACTTACCCTGTGACGTAATAAATATTAATGCGTGCATTGCAGCAAAACTCGCAATGTTTCGGTAATGTTTGTGAGAGAGGGAAAGCGATTTTGAAGCACAGAATTAAAGAATGGCATTATATGATAAAGAGGTTATCACGCTTGTGTGTTTGGGGATGGTAAATATCCTGTATTAGGAATAAACACTATGTATTTGGCTCGCCAAGGCTCGCTAAATACAATGTTTATTCCTAATGCAGGATATTTACCATCCCACACTCGCGTGATAACCTCTATATATTGATAGTTCAGTGATGTTTACCAGTTTATGCTGCCAGAGTGGCCTATCTATGTGATCCAAGACTATTGTTTTGTCATGTAAATTCATCTCTTAACAATGAATGATCACTTGATAATGACAAACTGGTTTGTGACCTGTTTCTGGATAACTTGAACAAATCAACATTAAATTCAACCCAATGTTTGCTCTGTCAGGCAAGCAGTTTGACTTGGATTGCCTTTAAAATTGGTTAATAAAAGTCTGATAAAAGGTCACATTATGGAAAATGGTTTCAGACTTTCTCAGACTAAATGGTTAAGGACAGAATTGTATTTTTCATTTGCCTCTACTCCCTAACGTATAACTGGTCAATATTAAGGGGGTACAGGGTTGAAATCCTTCCATTGTTTTATGGATGATGTTTTGGCAGCTTCCATGTAGATGAGGTAGGTTCTTCTCGAACAGTTCACTGTCTTGTACTTCGTTTGAAACCTCAAGGTGCTGGAACATCTCGGGATATATGAATGAAGTGTATCTTCTTTACGCAGGGGGATTTTTTAATGACATGTCTTGAGTCATCTTCAGGTTGGCCACATTTAAATCTCTTGAGTGACCTCAAAATAAGGTCAAGGTCGCCATGAAGGTGATTCATAAGGCTGTGTGCAATTTCTAACTACCATGTTTTGTTTTGTGATTGGAATATGTATTTATGAGACAAGTGACTACAACCACCACAGAAGGTCGCAGTGACTAACTCAATGAGTAGCGCATATCACATCAATCTCATTGACATCCAATATTCCTATTCAATACCTTTCTGTGTCAAAAACTAACATTGGAGGTCATGCAGTTGATCCCTGAGTGATCTTGGACAACCCAACCCAAACAAGACTTCAGGGTGTGTATTTAAATGTTGGCTTTCTGTGACGATTTGAAATTTTTGTCAACATGGTGACAGTTTCAGTTTCTGTTTAAATTTTTGTTGCCACCTTGGACTGAACAAGACAAGAAACAAATCTGTTCCCTCAATGTTCATTACGGGGTGAAGAGCAAAGTAATTTGTTTCAGTTACAGACAAGCTGACCAGGTGGCCTAGGTCTGACACACAACAACATGCCTTATCATACCCCCATGTCAGAATGATGAGATCTGATTGGTCAATGTGATCTTGATAAAATACTGTGTATCCTACCTTGGAGGGAAATTAATTTTTCAGTGGGGAATAAATCCCTTATACCCCGCCACGAGCAACTCAGGCTGCAGGTGGATTTCTGAGAGGCAGAAAAAATCGTTTATACCCCGCTTCAAAGCAAAAAGCCACACACTTTTTCCGAGTCAGTGGAAGTCCTGTGACGTAGTGCTAACTAACTTCAGCTTGAATTATTTTACAATGTCATATTAAAACATGTCGGTAAGATAAATTCGTTGTAGCAGGATCACAAGAGGTACATGGGGTTTTATGCGTCACTCGTGGTATAAAACCTAACGCAGGATGCATAAAACCCCTTGTAGCCCTCATGATCCTGCCGTAACTTAGCATTGTAGCATTGTCCTATGCCTGTGCCCAGACCTGTAGTAATCATCAAAAACCAGCGTCACTTCGGTTAGCGACCTAAGGCAAGTGAGTGAGTCTAATTTTAAAACTGCATCAGCAATATATTGCATGACAGCATTTGTTTTGTTATTAACGCCGCATTCGGCAATTTTCCAGCCATATGTCGCGGGCTGCAAGTTTGGGTCGACTAAAGGATTTTCAGATTAAGATGATTGTGTAATCATACCCTGATGGCGTGGGACATTACACAAAATATCATCACTGGTTTTTCTGCTCCAGACTATTATTGACGCCATATAGCTGGAATATTGTCCAGAGCGCACTAAACAAAGATCTCAAAGTTTTTCTTCCCGTACATAAAACTGACATGCAGTGTTAGAACATAAGTCGTTGAACCCAACACACACAAGGCGAACTCCAGGCAGACAAAAATGCTGAATGGCTAAAACATTTATCAACCCTAAATCATAGATTTCGCCATTATGTTCATATAGCACTAGTACACCAAAAATGAAATGCTTATGAAACTAAATACTGCAGTATATAGTGACAAAAGCAACAACAAAACAAAGTTAATAAAGCCAAAAATGTTTACTGATCATGTGGTAGCAAATACACTGTAACACAAAAAACATACACTGTAGATAACAGACTTGGAGGCATGCATGTGTGGATGAGTTTTGTTCTGGCAGCACTTCATAGAACATCAGTGGGATACTGAGGCCTGGGAGAGCAGAGCTTAAGTAGCCTGAATACATGCCTTCTCTGTTCAAATCGGATAAAATTCTGCATATGAAAAAAGAAAATTTAGGCTCATCAATTTGTCTCTTAAATTTTGAGTATGAACATCAAAACGACACTCTACTCAACTTCTAACTGATTGCCCCAATTACTTGAGACAATGTTTTGATTTCAAAGGTAACAATTACAACATTGAAACCTTGAATAAAGATTGCTACATATCGTGAAAATATTTTTTGCGAAGATGGTTTTCAACTTTTCATTTCAAGTATCAAATGAGAATTTTCACCAAGGCATGTTTAACAAGGCGAGACAGCAAAAGCTGTCTCTCTGACACCTGTCTGTCGGTCTCAAAGAGACGTCATTCAACAGGGCAGGGGAGGTAAGACTGCCCACCACATCCATGCTGCCCACTAAAAACTCACCATCACAGACCACCTGTCACACTGTCTATTGGCTCACAAAATCCTGACACTGTGCAATGTATAATATTTGAATCATCTTTACTTCCAAACAATATTAACATTAAATATTCAAAACAAAATGTGATAAATAGGATTGTGAACAAACAGCAATTTCAGTGATTAAAGAACTTGCAAACAATGTGACAGTGGCATCATACAAATCTAGATAATAAAGTGTAAAACATACATACAATAACACAATGTCCGACCAACAAGCGATATTGTTAAAACCTGGACGACAAATAAAACAACGTAACAAATAATTCTCAGTGAATTGTCTTTCGGGCAATTCAGAACGTCACTCAGTGTAAATGATATAGAAGAGCAAAACAATGTCAGTAACATGTCTTTGTGTTGTTTATCAGACTGTGGAGATATAAAAATACTGGGTTAACATGCATTACAAATAAATAGGGTATGACTATTGCTTACTGCTGAACCAGTGACTCTCCGCTGTTAGCAGTGACTAGTAAGAAAACCTGAATAGGGGAAAAGTGAAACATTTTTGCAGCGTGAATATAGGTAAAATGTGTATATTGAAATAAAATGAACATGCAAAAATATTAATTGTTAATAATCATTTTTAATTAGACAACTCTTGGTTTTGATTATTTGGATAAGATTCACAAAAATTAATTGTCCAAGCCTGACGTATTCTTTCCTTGTAATACGGATTTCCCTAGCTAAACCTTTTCAGCAATATCTCTTAAACGACCGATGCATTATGTAAATATGGGTATCTGAACCCTATTGGTTTGGTATGTTTTACATTCAAGATTTTATTTGAGGAAAATGGGACCTATGTTCTTGGAAAGGGGCCCTAAAAAATATTATGTTAAAAATTCCTGTCTCTGATTTTAACTCTGAAAAGAACCTTCATTCTATAAATCATCACCCCCCCATTTTAATATCCTATATTTATATTTTAAAATCTGTAAAAGAGAAATCTATCCAATCTGTCTGAATCACGTTTACATCATGCATTCTATGAATAGAATCAAGATCTTTTGAAAAGATTAAAAATACTTTCCAAGGCATAAAATGCCTACTTTCATAGACAAATTCATAATCTTTGAGTTGTACAAAACACATTCAAGACAAAACATACATTTTGATTTCTGTGAACAAAACCAATCTAAAAATACTCCAAGAACATCAAGTCCAAATTACATGCACTATCTCAAAAAATATACAATCATCCAGAAAATCTCATCATTTTAATGTTTCAATACTGTTGTACATTTTTGATTGAAGACAAAACGGTTGACTCAGGACAACATTACCAAGCGTCAGCATAGTTCATGACTTACATCAAAATCTCCATTTTCAAAAATAGTATCAGTTACAAAAACATAAAATATTCACAATACACAAGTATAAAATGAAAATGGTTCTCAAATCACATGCTGCAAAATTCTCATTTAACAAATATCTTGCACAAAAAATGCTTACTTTGTAGTGTGACGCCATGGAAGTTTCCAGCACAAATCCCAAACAAAAGTAACGTTCTAGGATACAGAAAATTCAATACACGCTGAACCATAGCATGGCTTGATTTGTGCTACATCCATCTTAAGTCCAGGTACTGTTTAATACAACTATAACACTGATTTGTGACTTACTGAACTGTTTGAAAATAGATATTAATTTTTTTGAAGTGATTCAGTTGTGAGATTCAAGGTTCCTAGGAAGACGTGTAGAACATATACATTCATTATTATCTGCATCTTCCCGAGGCAAGGGAGTCAACTGACTCCAAAAGTCCAGTTTCCATCCTTGCCGAACTGGGCTGGAATTGCTGGGCTCGATCGTAGGGCCACCTGTGGCTATTACGAGTTTTGTCCCTTCTATGCCTCTCCTTTGAGGAGATCAGATTCCACCTCTCGTATCACTTGCATTTGCTTCAAACAAAATGGCGGCGCCCAGTCAAGACAATCTGATCGATAATCAAGATCTACGTGAGCACCTTGATTAAAAACATGAAAAGATTTAGAAAATATCTGTTGACAACGAGTTGGCGGTGCACATGCTTTGCAAACCCTACAATCGACTGAAATCTGCAAGACAGTTTACGAACCAGATTTCAATTTCATTGTGCGATTTTGATTGGACTATGCCTAGACTCGTTATTCCAAACAATATATAACTCCATAATTGACGCCTAGTTCGGCAAGGGTGGAAACTGGACTTTTATAGTCCGTTAACACACTTGCTTTGGGAAGATGTACTATCTGATATTGTCATCAGTACATACAAAGGTGTATACCTATGATATTTGAGATGGGAACTTCCTGATCAACTAGGATATAAACTTCATGTATCAAATATCATGTTCAACCATTAGTAGAACAAGACAAAAAATAAATTCTGATTAACTGTTTGATTCAGCTCTCTAATTAGCAATGATTGTTTCAGTTTAGCTTTTGTTAATATCATATCAAATATATGACTTTAAACAGGTCAATAAATGATTAAGTCGCTTAACTGATGACAGGGTTTATAATATCTATGAATCCATCATCAAAAGTACTGGTAATATTCAGATCTATATCATATCATAATTATGTTAATCATATATATCTTATTACTTTGGCCAAGAATTGAGGGAGTCCACTGTAATAAGGTATTCTCAGCAATATTAGTATTTGGATTGGTGATGGAACTGGTAGTATTTATTTGTGCAGTAAATGTGACTTATCACAAGTCGGCCTGTAGTCCGAGACTAGTAAAAGTCAGGAGGACTGTGACACTTGTTTATGGACTACCACTTTTACGGTTAGGTAGACAGTAACTCTGTAATAGATCATTTTTGCAGATTAGTAAAAATAAAAATAAGTTTCTAACCCTGGAATATTTTTATGTCTTGCCCGGATCCCACAGATGTTTGTACAGTTTATAAATAAAAAGTATTTGAGCATTTGAATGTTCTTGTTAATTAGGCATAAACAAACATATATTTATTTGCTGCATAAGATTGATATTTTCGAAACAATATTCTTTTGTGTGTTGCTCATCATCAAATCACCTTAAAATGGCGAAATGTGAACCCCCCATATAAAACAAGAAAAGAGTGGAGTTATCTCCCTTTGAAATGAATTCTACACAATGTCAAAACCTGATTGCAACATGAGACCCAATAATAAAGACTATTGCCCCAAATGGATAGAATGGATATGGATATGCTGTTATGTTCGAGAATGGTCTTGTGTGATGAAAATATATAGGATTCCTGACATGGATCAGCCGAAATAGTTCAAGATTAATTTAGTTCCATGGTATTAGCAAAGAAAAGTCATGTAGTAACTGTTTACATTCAGTGTCTCACGTCAACACTAACTTCCTTCCAAACTGGACTAGAACTCGTAACACAAATCAAATATTTTCTCATGCTGATACCCATCCCGACACGACCTCAATGTCAAGGTTGATATCACAAGAAGCTTGAAACCATGGTAACGACAATATAAACAAACAATACTGACGTAGCTGGACACATAACACAGTTACAATGAGGTGGTGAAACCACCGGCAATCTCAGCGGTAGAAAAATATGCTGGAATAGTCCTCCACTCAGGGGAGAGAACCATTGCTGCATGATCTGGTATCATGGGATGGAATGAAGCTTGGTCATCGTCATTCAACACATGCAAATCAGAGATAAACTGGTGTTGACAAAACTAACACCATAATGTCCTGGCATCACAAACCATGGCATCATGGCGCCATGGTAGTCTTGACAGTTGGTAAAAACCACAAGAAGTCCAATCTCACAGATACACACGCATTGCAACAATATGATCTAAATTTGATATCTCAATTCCTGGGAGCGCTCCACAATATTGTCTGGAAACAGACATCCAGGTATATCAATCCAAGTCAATGATTCCGGCGCACTTCAATTTTGCTTTGAGCAATTTCACACACAGATCCCAGAAATAAAGTCCAGCATCCATCTCCAAGAGCCAATATAAACGTACTGGCAAGAACAACAGAGCGGTCTCTTAGAGTCTCCATTAATACACTGTCGTTACATTCTCAGACCCAGTGGATGCAGGCCCCGTAATGCTGTAGATTTCTGGCTTGGAGCACTCAGTCTTCGGGTTTTGGTGGGGGAGGCTTTATTTCTTCCGTGATGCCCCCCCAACGGATTCGGTACTTCTGTGAGCGCCAGGTAACTGCCGGGTTCCAGTGAGCTTGGAAGATCAGATATGGGGAAACCAGTTCGTTCATTAACCAACCTACCACAAACTCAAACTTGGAGAATGGCAGCGGGCCCCTCTGAAACAGGAACATGTACATTTGGAAGTTGTTTTCTGATATAAATTGTATTATTTAAAATCTCTTTTTGATGGCACAGGAATAGGACTGAAGCTGGAAAGAACTTTGCTGTAGGAGTCTTTTGTCAAAGATATTTCAAATTTCATTAAAAAAAGTGATATTGTGAAACAATCTGTGCCCAACAAAGGTCTGCAAGGATCCCACAGCAGGGATTTCTGTAAGTCACCATAGAGTTCACAATCTGAGGTGTCAAATTTGCTAAATAGATATAAGCACATATATAACAAAAGGTACAACTGACAAATGAATAGTGACCAGATTACCAAGGTAACTGCATTCTCAAAGAACACAAAATTTTCCAATTTGACATGTGCATGTCTTAAACAAATGTACTGATGGAAACACTCTGAAAGTATAGTCCTGTGCCATGACTGTGGAATACATATTTGCAAAATTTATTTTGTACTAAACGTCTAGGCAAGTCCTTAGGCTGAGGGAACAGACCCCACTATGCCATGCAGATGTTTCAGAAACCATGATTCATTGATCCATTAATGATGTCCACAAAGCTGCTTACAGTGTGAGGCACCATGACCAGACAGACAGGTAACTGACCTGACTGATTATTGTATTCTCCCCATGGAGCTGAGAATAACATTTATCAGCAGAGGTGGTTATATATAGCTGCCAGCCAAAATCACTCAATAAGTGACATATTGTATATGCCAGGGTAAAAAAATTCACCATTGTCAAAACTTAAAACATTCTAAGTTTCTGATCTTAAGGCTACATGGTGAACTGATATCTGGATTTCTTGTGTGTACAAAATTTTGTGCACAACACTTGTTTACCATTTGAGACCTTTTCTTATTAACATCAGTAGACTTGCCACAAGACAAAACTTACACCTAGGTGAGAATTCAATATACATAAGAAAACATCAACAAAATCATCTCCGCTTGTGCCTTACCTGTACAACTTTAATGAGAATGTAGTCCCCGAGGAACCACACCAGGATGTGTATGAGGAAGAACACCAGGGCTGTCCAGTCAAACAGGTACGACACTGCCCATGATGCCATACCACCCAGGAACATGCACTGGAAGATAGGCTCCATCACTATCGTGGAGGGCACTGTGGAGATGCGGAGCTTTGTCCATCTACAAGGAGAACAGAGATCCACATTGAGGGGAAATATTGTCAGTTTTGAATTCTTCTTTGTCTTCCTTCACAGTTTGTGACTTTAGCCACTTGTCCAAAGCCTGAGTCAAGTCAATATTCTTCTGGTCCAGTAAGATCAGTTTACAGGGTACTATTCCATAAACTAAGACTACAACAAACATACTTGGAACAGTCTTCCTTTGGCTGGTGGTTATTCTTAATTTCCCATTAGGTCCCCAAATGCTATCAGTGAGCATCTCCTTACTATTTAACTGCAATATTGACGATGCAATGTAAACTTTTAACTGACTCACTCACTATCACACACCGTCAACAAAGTTCAGCTGGTCTCGTTCTGCGATGTCTCCACCCAACTACAGAAATTGAGCCTGAGTCTGGTTAAGTGGCCCACACCAGGTCACCTGTCATAACCAGTTATCCTCCTTAGTCTGCTGTCAGGGCAAAATACATTCACTTACTCAGCCAATTAAATCCCACTGTCCCACGAAAAAATCCCCATTCAACAAAGCTTCAAATACCCTACTTGATAATGTTCATACTCTTTCCAGATTCTGATAATTATCATTATGGGAGATCAGACAGCCACTGTATAATAATTTATAAATCCTAGTTAATATGGCCACAGCGTGACTCGAGACACTGAGACAACTCTGAATGGATAACAGACACAGTAAACCCTTAAGCTCAGGGAACAGACCCACTATGCCATGCAGATGTCTCAGAAACCATGATTCATTGATCCAATAATGATGTCCACAAAGCTGCTTACAGTGTGAGGCATCGTGACCAGACAGACAGGTAACTGACCTGACTGATTATTGTATTCTCCCCATGGAGCTGAGAATAACATTTATCGCCAGGGTGGTAACATATAGCTGCCAGCCAAAATCCCTCAATAAGTGACATATTGTATATGCCAGGGTAAAAAAAATCACCATTGTCAAAACTTAGGTTTGTTTTCACTATGTCTTCCATCACCTGTGAATACAAACAGCAGCTTTGTGGTGTAGTCGCCATATAAAGATACAACAAGGGGTACAGTATTCGACGTAATATGCGCCCACTCCAATAAGCGCCCGCGGCGATATTTGCTAATATATTGGCTAGTGAACAATCCCAATTAGCACCCCTTCCGATTGATCAATTTACACTTATTTATTCGTGTATAATAAAATATATCTGTCGTGCATAATACCCAGAGACTTTTCTTTTGTATCATGTCAGGCTGTCAGCATAAACCACGAAACTCTGTTTTCTTTCTCACCAAAATTATATTTTAATAAGAGCCCCCTATTTCTAATTTTGAGAGTGCCCTGAGCGCTTATTACGTCGAATACGGTATCTATTTTCAGACTTGGCGCCAATTAGTACAACTATTAATTTATGATGACACCGCACAAGGTTTTCCATGTTTGCTTCTCCTTGAGGCTGTGCCATTGAAATTTCCATACACTGATCTCTATTGGGTAAGCATATAAAAAGTAGCAAAGATATAATTATAATCACTGCAATTGTCTGGATATAAAGTTCAGAAAAGCTATTGGAACATTGTAAAGTAATTACATTTTTGTTGTTTAGATTTTAATGAGTTCACCACATATTTTAGCTGGCAAACTTGAGTTGCCATAACCCGTTTTGGGTCACCAACACTTTCTAACATGCTTCTATTGTGTCCCTACTGTAAATAATATATCATCCAAACAATCCTACCAAGGTGCGTTACAATATAATCAACAAATCAAGCCACAGCATGGTTGGAGTGCTGGGTTCAATGAGCGCTCATATATCTCATGCAGCATGCAATATAATACTAATAGCCTCACTACCATCTAGTCAACACAATGCTTTGTGTCAGGCAACTGTAGGTTCGGCACAAACACTGTGCATTCAGAGCCTTGTAAAATGGCTTCACAGTTTCAATAGCTGACTAAGATAGATATGTGTCACTATTATACCACTAAGTGGATGTCCGAAGTAATGGGTGATGGAGGAGCGTGGTGTATTTTCCTATTTTCCTGGTGTGCAGCAACAAAATTAAAATTAAAATTAAAATTAAAATTAAAATTAAAATTAAAATTAAAATTAAAATTAAAATTAAAATTAAAATTACCTAATAAGCCTGGCATGAAAGTGTGGGATGGAGTACATCCCTGAGTTCTGCTGTGCCGCCTGGGAGCTGATTCTCACCTTCCATCCCCTGAAACACAGAATGCATCCACTGATTACAACACTCCAGTAAGCATAACAGAGGAGCTGTCCAACATTTCTAACTGATGTATGTCAAAGCCTCATTAGGCAGGGTTCATACAAATCTTGGCCAACAAAATTCAAGCGCTGCTCAAGTACATTTCAAGGGCTACGTTCCTCATTCATAAGCTTAAACTTCCATTTTTTTCCTTTGTATTTACCAAAGTGACTAACAATGGTCCCCATCAAAATGAAGAAACATATCCTTATTTGCCTGACCACCATCTTTTATGGACTAGAAAAAAAGATACTTAATCAAATACTTTGCATGTTGTCTCCAACTACAAATACCTACCTCCAGGTAATAAGAGAACAAAGTCTTTCAGCAGTTACCATGGTTAACACATGTAGGGATATATCTAGGATTTATCTAGGATCCAGACTACGAGCCCATGCCAAGCCAACTTGGGAAAAAAATTGTTTTCTAAAGTTCCTATTTTCTTAAATGCAGGTCTCTTAACAGTGTATATTACATTACATTCAATACTGAAAAACTAAGCACTAAAGCCTCTTCCTCTCTTCTAGTCTGCTATCAGAGATATACAAGTCAACCTGACCAAGCAATCACATTAGTTACTATATTACCTTAGCTGGGAACGTTTTATTTCCAATATGGGAAAATCTACTGACATTTGTTGCAGACTTGGAGCCAAACACTGGCCTCTGAGGAGGTCTGGATAACCCCCGATACGCTACACTAAAAAACTTATATCCTGCACCTTAAACACTATTAACATTTCTTTTCCCCACTGTACCACTTGCCTCAAACAACTTCATGCCAATTAAAATAAAAAATATTGGGCTTAACAAATATATTTATATTTCCATTGACACAAGCTAATTGACTACCTAAGATTTGAAAACTAAAAATTATTTAAAAAAAATGCCTTGAAAGATGGACCCACAACTTATTTAAATTTTATTACAGGACAATGACAATCTCTTTACTTTCATCCCTGATTTCAAAGACAACTATTCCTCCTGTCTAATACCAAAGTCAGCCATACTACCAGTAATGTCCCTTGATTCTCAAACATAACCAACAGGATATTTGACTATTTCTGTCTTGCTATCGAAACACTGTGTGGCTTACAGCACCAGTGACAATGACACGTGTGTTTACTGTAAAGCAGAGGGATGATGATGACATGATCAAAACAAGCACCTGTCACATCACATGACTATCACCACATTGAAATACACACCATTAATAGGGTCCACTGGCATGGTGGACGTGTCGCTATGGTTACTGCTATCACCAAGCATGAATATTTCTGACAGCTGGTGCATGAAGTATAATGTATTCATGAATGCATCGCTAAAAATGTTTTCCTATTTTTTTTCCAATTTTCTTCACATATGTATGCTGCCTACATAATTTCTTTGAAAGAAATCTGGTTAATTGATATTTGAAATTTGAAACATGTACTAAAAATAACTCCATAACTTCAAACATCCAAATGCCTGTTCCCTAATGTGGACTTACCTATCAACAAACGCCTGTGCCATCATGTGGCCTTACCTATCAGTACCTGTGCCATCACGTAGTGCACCAACTCTTACCTATCAATAAACGCCCGTGCCATCATGAAAGTGCACCAACTCTTACCTATCAATAAACGCCCATGCCATCATGTAGTGCACCAACTCTTACCTATCAATAAACGCCCGTGCCATCATGAAAGTGCACCAACTCTTACCTATCAATAAACACCTGTGCCTTCATGTAGTGCACCAACCTTTAGCTATCAATAAATGCCTGTGCCATCATGTAGTGCACCAACTCTTACCTATCAATAAACACCTGTGCCATCATGTAGTGCACCAACTCTTAGCTATCAATAAACACCTGTGCCATCATGTAGTGCACCAACTCTTAGCTATCAATAAACGCCTGTGACACCATGTAGTGCACCAACTCTTACCTATCAATAAACGCCTGTGACACCATGTAGTGCACCAACTCTTACCTATCAATAAACGCCTGTGCCATCATGTAGTGCACCAACTCTTAGCTATCAATAAACGCCTGTGCCATCATGTAGTGCACCAACTCTTACCTATCAATAAACGCCTGTGCCATCATGTAGTGCACCAACTCTTACCTATCAAAAAACGCCTGTGCCATCATGTAGTGCACCAACTCTTACCTATCAATAAACGCCTGTGCCATCATGTAGTCTTCAGCCAGGTACTGTCCCAGATGGTTCATGCCCCCGGCCTCCTCGAGCACCTCCTTCCTGAACAGACACGACATCCCCGTTGTGCAGTTGATCCCCAGCCCATTTGCACACAGGTACATCTTTGCATGTTGGGTGCCAAAATATACCTACATCAAAACAAGTTCCTAACATTATGCTGAATCAAAACATGCATATGACTATAAGAGATGCTGTCGGCATTACTGCACCTTAATCTAGGTGGGCTGTGTTTAATCAAGTCTGGATCACACAAACCTGTGGTTGATAGTATGAGCAATAGTCTGTGCTATCAAGGAACAATGACACTCAGGTCACATAGTGCTCCATTCTAATCTGAACACTTGTGTCAAGCATAGAGAAAGGGGACCTATTGTTTCCCTTCTCTAGTGGGAGACAAGCATACTGGAGATCTAGTTTGCCCTTGAACCTCTGCAGGGAGACAAGCATACTGGGGACCAACTCTGCAGGGAAATGAGCATGGGGTACTGGGGACCTACTCTGCCTTAGAACCTCTGCTGGGAAATGAGCATGGGGTACTGGGGACCAACTCTGCCCTAGAACCTCTGCTGGGAAATGAGCATGGGGCACTGGGGACCTACTTTACCCTAGAACCTCTGCAGGGAAATGAATATGGGGTACTGGGGACCTACTCTGCCAGGGAACCTCTGCAGGGAAATGAGCATGGGGTACTGGGGACCTACTCTGCCCTAGAACCTCTGCTGGGAAATGAGCATGGGGTACTGGGGACCTACTCTGCCCTAGAACCTCTGCTGGGAAATGAGCATGGGGTACTGGGGACCTACTCTGCCCTAGAACCTCTGCTGGGAAATGAGCATGGGGTACTGGGGACCTACTCTGCCCTAGAACCTCTGCAGGGAAATGAGCATGGGGTACTGGGGACCAACTCTGCCCTAGAACCTCTGCTGGGAAATGAGCATGGGGTACTGGGGACCTACTCTGCCCTAGAACCTCTGCAGGGAAATGAATATGGGGTACTGGGGACCTACTCTGCCCTAGAACCTCTGCAGGGAAATGAGCATGGGGTACTGGGGACCTACTCTGCCCTAGAACCTCTGCTGGGAAATGAGCATGGGGTACTGGGGACCTACTCTGCCCTAGAACCTCTGCAGGGAAATGAGCATGGGGTACTGGGGACCAACTCTGCCCTAGAACCTCTGCTGGGAAATGAGCATGGGGTACTGGGGACCTACTCTGCCCTAGAACCTCTGCAGGGAAATGAATATGGGGTACTGGGGACCTACTCTGCCCTAGAACCTCTGCAGGGAAATGAGCATGGGGTACTGGGGACCTACTCTGCCCTAGAACCTCTGCAGGGAAATGAATATGGGGTACTGGGGACCTACTCTGCCCTAGAACCTCTGCAGGGAAATGAGCATGGGGTACTGGGGACCTACTCTGCCCTAGAACCTCTGCTGGGAAATGAATATGGGGTACTGGGGACCTACTCTGCCCTAGAACCTCTGCAGGGAAATGAGCATGGGGTACTGGGGACCTACTCTGCCCTAGAACCTCTGCAGGGAAATGAGCATGGAATACTGGGGACCTACTCTGCCCTAGAACCTCTGCAGGGAAATGAGCATGGAATACTGGGGACCTACTCTGCCCTAGAACCTCTGCAGGGAAATGAGCATGGGGTACTGGGGACCTACTCTGCCCTAGAACCTCTGCAGGGAAATAAGCATGGGGTACTGGGGACCTACTCTGCCCTAGAACCTCTGCAGGGAAATGATCATGGGGTACTGGGGACCTAATGTGCCCGAGAATCCCTACAGAGAACTGAAATCCAAGAACTGTAAAATCTGTTCTTTATACAATTAACAATTCCTACCACTGGCTTGACTCATTTTAATCAGAGCTATATGTGAATGGAAACATTGTCTTTCTGAAATTAGGACTATCAGTTCTGTGTTATTGTTTAACACTGCACTGTCATATTACACAATATTCCAGCTCAGTCACCTCTCACAATAAGCATAGGTTGCTGGAGACATTTCTACCCATGTCTTGATAGACTAACATATACAGAACTAGACTTCGAGAAGACAAGACTTCAACCCTGAGTCAGTTTCCCAATATCAAAGATCTCCTCAAATGGTGCAGAAACATTTAGAACTTTTTCAGGGTGTTTAAATAATCTATGACTATCAAGATTACTCAATATCCTTGCTTGAACCCTGATGTCTACAGCAACAGGCCACCTACTTTTTCTATATGTGATGAGAATCCCTTCCTGTCACAGATGTAGGGCATCTGGTGGACTAGCCCCGTCTTCTCTGTCATCAGCAGCACCATGTCCAGCAGGGTGTCCTCGCCCACTGCAACACACATCTCTTGTCAACACACATCACTTATCAACACACATCTCTTATTAACTCACAGCTTCAACATCAACCTTTCTCAAAGGGAGACTACTGCTTTCCATCAGTGTAGCTCAACTTGGAAGCTTTCTCAAAGAGAGACTACTGGTACAAATTAAGTCACTGTTTTATTCTGAACTTGCATGTCCCCAAATCTAAAGAACACAAAAAAAATACTTTCTGGATATCATGTAGAAACTGTTTACATATTTGCCAATGACTGATATCCAATACTATTATAATTTTATCAGGGAAACAGAAATGATGAAAGTATATATTCATTCACTGTACAATAATGAATAAATCAGATAAGCTCTCAAATTTTTCCTGGGTGATTCGGATGTTGTCGAATCCGCTCCCGGTCTTGACTAGTTACATGGCAATGAAAATTCAAGAGTGGTGAGAATATGGCTGTAAAGCAAACTAAGAAGAGACAATTACCGTATTCGACGTAATAAGCGCCCACAGTGATATTTGCTAATATATTGGCTAGTGAACAATCCCAATCATCACCCCTTCCGATTGAACAATGTACACAAGACTTATTTATTCGTGTATAATACGCACTCGTGTGTTATATGCACCCTCATTTATGGGCAATTAAATTCTGGAAAAATATATCTGTCGTATGTAAACATTTCAGGCTGTGAGCATAAACGAGATTTACGATCTTTCAACTGTTTTTTTTCTTTCACCAAACTAATATTCTAATAAGAGCCCCCTATTTCTAATTTTGAGAGTGCCCTGGGTTCTTGTTCAACGAATAAGGTAATTAACAATTTTATCATCTAAAAGTACACCTTTGTTAACCATCATTCATTTTTTTCCACACTTGAAAGACACAATACTTACTTTTCAAACCACTATCTGATATGAGAATTAGATCGTGTTTAGCAGCTTCGTAACCTAAGATCATGTTGTTTATTTTGGGATTTATTCCAATTTTTCTTCCACCTGAAACAGAGAAACAAACACATTGCATTGATTAAGAGAGCCAACAGGTATTGTCAGTTTACAATAACACATCTGTGTTTGTGCATTTGAAAAAAACAGAAATAGCAAAACGTTCAAAATTCATATTCAGGGTCAGTTCCACAAAGCACTAAGATGATCACAACTCCCATACTTTAACATGGCTTGTGATAGCCCAGGTCCATTCCTCATTAATAGTAAACAGCGTTCCCGTTTACCAGTAATTACCAGTTTTTTACTGGTAAAATTAGGCTTGGACCGTTAATTCATGTGACTGCCAGTCCCTGTGGACCGGCAAATAAAGCACCTTATATCTTTGTTGTTGAACAAAACATCGGTGATATTCATATAACTACATTTTTCAAATAAAGTCAGCTTGTCTGTTTCTATCAGGGTTTACCCTTGTCTATTTCTAGGTTAAATATCCATTTGTAGCAACGTCTTGAAATATTAAAAAAAATATTGTGACTGAAGAGAAAATTGTGACTGAAGTTAGTGTGAATGACATATAGACCTCACTAAGTTACTTCAGAGATGACTTCTTTGCACTGAACATTATGTTGAAAGAATTGAAACCAAATAATTTTCATATTTTCTTTTTTTTGTTGAAAGTTGGGACTGGCAAAAATTAGGGGGGACTGGTAATTTTTAGAGTTTCAAAAGCCAGCGGGAACACTGAGTAAATGAATGTGTAATTTAACACCACTTTTATCATTATATCTGCAATACCACAGTGGGGTACACCTAGACATGGCTCACACAAAAATAGACAAACATAACGTTGTCATTTCCAGGTTTGTGGCTGTCCCTGGAAATTTTAACAGTGATAAAGATTAAAAAAGCAGCTTGAGAAGTTATAGTTGTTGACTGTTTTATTTATGAGATGTGACCATATCTGTTCTTATAAGGAGGCATAAATGTGAATTTACACAGTATGCTTTAAGTTTATACCTCCATAAACGTAAACAAAATTTAAGTCAATTCCGAAATGTTCACATGCAGGGGATGGAACTAGGGTATTCAGCTAGATGAGTGAATGAGTGAGTGAGTGAGTGAGTGAGTGAGTTGGGTTTAACGCTGCTTTTAACAGTATTCCAGTTAAATCACGGCGTGTCAGCTTAATGTGGGAGGAAAGACTGAAGTGATGCAGGTCTCAGACGTTTACCACTTCAGTGAAACCCACAAGCACGGGTATGGTGCTAAAAAAACCTAGAAACAAAATCGGAGAGAACAGGGATTCGGACCCACGATCATAGGTTTCTGGCGTGCTCAAGGGACGCATTTCTGCACGGCGAATCGCGGTGCCTTAGACGACAGGGCCACCCTTGCCCACCAGCTAGATGAGTAGATGAGTGACTCAAGCACATCACAGGTACACTACAGCCTCTACTCTACTCCATGTTCAACAAAACATATAATCTATAAGCTCTCACAACATACACTGTGATTTTGATCGGTGCATGGATTTCTAAATTAGAATCAAATGCAGACTACAGACAATTTTTCTTTCTAAACTAAAAAAAATCAGTTTTCAAAGGAATATAATCATTAAAACTAACATGTCAACATGGTCAAAGAAATCTGACATAAATGGTAATTTGACGACATGTTAGTGTTTAGTGAGTATTCTAATATGTCATTTTCCCTTAAAATTAGGCAAAATCATCTGACAATGCTGGGAAATCAAACTATGGACATCTGAAAATAATGACTGTCAGGTAATATATAGCCACATCACTGAATACAGACATATCTGGCAGAGTAGTGTTACTGCTACAATGTCCTTGGGGCATGTAAGGAGACGGAGAAGTGGTAACTTCTATTCATCATTTATCAAGTTTCTGGCAGCAACATGATCTAGTAATATTCTCAGAACCATTACAACAACTCAAAACAACCCTGATTAATACACCTGTGTCATGTTGATCACCTTCCTCTTTGTTGGTTCTAGCCTTGCTCCAAGGCTATGGAAGTATAGTAATTCCAGAAAAGGAAGCCAGTGTTTTATAGGGATAACTTGTTTTTATTATATATATAATCGAGGGATTTTGGTTTAAACTTATGACCATTTCCTTAGTGAGTGTGAGTGTGTATGATTTTACGCCACTTTTAGCAATATTCCAGGAATATCACGAAGGGGGACACCAGAAATGGGCTTCACACATTGTACCCATGTCGGGAATCGAACCCGGGTCTTCCGGGTGACAAGCGAACACTATAACCACTAAGCTACCTGACCGCCCCGACCATTTCCTTAGAGAAATTAAGAAAGTCAAGAATGATTCCTGAGATATCCATATCCATATCCTTCCCTAGTTATAAAATAGCTAGATTTGTTTCTCCCGACTTTGAGAACTGCAGATTACTAGGGTGTAAACATCTTGAATGCCAAACCTGGTTCAATTAAACATGTTCTGTTTCAGTAGTCAGATTACTGTCAACAGATAACAGAGAACCCGATAGAAGGCATAGTGACCTTTAAAACTTGATGTTCAACCTCAGCTGCAATTCCCTTTCCACACGACCAAAGCCATCTAATTAACACAGATGATTTTATAGCTGCCACTTCCCTTTGAAAATCTGAACTTGAGGACTCCATGAAAACATATATTAATCTTTTCAGGAAAATGATATACATATAACAGAGCCACGGCACTAAAGCTCACCTGATATGTAGTCAACTTTTAAAAATGACAACACGATAGAGACTTAAAATTGATGCTGTTAGCATTGATATTCAAAGATTTTCTTCATAAATAAAGGACAAAAAACACTGAAATTTAATGTCTGCTTGTACTTGAATGCCCCACTCAGACATAGTATGCTGACTCTGGGCTGACCAGTCCTTGTTTTAGCCCCTTAATGCTAAGCTAAACATAAGTAACTGGTGTCTAGGGCTGTTACGATTCACTCGCGTATTCGGTGAATCGAACAATAACCGTTCATGAATTGAATTCGTTATTCATGGCCACTACAATCGAATATTTATGAATATGCTTTCATGTATATTTACATACCCTGTACTTAAAAATATCCATAACAACATATTATATGCATAGATTTCTTTCAATGACAACACTCTAATAATATTTAATTTGATAGTATTGTTTTCACTGGTCATTGTCGCATTTGAGCAGATGCTAGTACCTGGATAAGTGCAGTATATAAATATATAATTTATTAATACACTGTAATTAACAAACCATGTCAAATAAATCATGATGTTATTGTTTCACTGAATATAATAAATAATACATAAACTGCTGACTTGTTATTGTAATTGTGAATTAATATTCGTATTCGTTACCCTAAATTTGTGATATGAATCGTATTCGCCTCATAGTGTGTTCCTTGCAGCCCTAACAAGTACCATATTTTAACATGTCGTCAATGGTGGAAAGGAGCATATGAAGTTTAATTGCTCTAGACGTTTCTGAGGAGATATTTACGACGGATGACGTACGAGAGAGGCAACAAAAACAGGCCACAACAAACTATCTGTAAAAATCTTCACTGATCAGTCACAAGAGAAAAAATACTTCAAATCAGACAAACCATTCTCACATACTTGTCTAATTGCAAAAACCGTGTAATTAATCAGTGTTAAAAACTGGCACTAGTCCTGTAGTCCTTGCCAAACTGCCCAATAGCTAAGATATCATAAGGACGCGTAGAAATTTGCCATTCTTAAGGGTTTTGCTGTATGTTATCATAATAACGACTAGTGCAGTAAAACAGTTAATTTCTACCGCTGTTAATGCATCTGCTTTGAAGCTTAATTATCTTCTATATGCACAAAGAATAACATAGCCACTACAAAGGTCACCAAAATGATCAGGTATTTTCCCCATGACCTCAACCCTGTACCCAGTCTACCAACACGCTAGTAGTCTACCAACACGCTAGTAGTCTACCAACACGCTAGTTGCTAAGAAAGTGTCAACAGTTTTTCACCTATAAATAAACCAGTGCATACATCTACTCAAAACAGAAGCAAAGCTGATTTCTGATAAGCAGATTCCACGCGGCAGCAAAGGATTACGTCTATGGTGACCACATAAACAAACATATACAAGACCCTGTGTGACATTCTAATACCACTGCACTTTAAATAGCTATGTCACCACAAGGTCAGAGACATCAATGCCTGTATTGCCGGAATCAGACTGATCTACCCAAAACGTATGAACTATGGTATATAATTCTTTGCACAGTAGGCTCTAGTTAAGCGATGTATGTTCACAAACAGGGTATAATGCTGGGTCAACTTCCTCTGAGTAGTATATATGAAATTATAGCTAAAATGGATAGAATCATCATTAAACCGCCCGTGTGTTATCAGAAATGAGCGGGCCACTGTAACTTGATAATGCCCTCATATTTCTTGACGGGCCATTATCACGCCTGTTGTTAGGTGACGTAATAGGATAGGGATAGGTGACGTCACGTTCAATAGTGACGTCATCTGGTTTGTTCTATGACGTTTCCATATTTGTAAAAGTGGGTCAGTGACATTCGTGTTGATTGCAATAAAGTTTCAAAACTGATATTGTTGTTTCTTTTTATTTGATAACAAATTCCATCCATTTTAGATATAATAATGGAAACACTCTTTTTCAGGGCATTATCATTTGCAGAAGCCCTCGGTCTTTTCAACCGACTTCCTTCGTCGGGCAGTTAATGGAAGACCTCGGGCTGCAAATGATAATGCCCTGAAAAATAGTGTTACCCTTATACTATAAACTATAAACATCACTAACTGAATATCATATAGTCTAATGGCCATTGGTTTTGAGGTATATCAGTATTCTCCCCTGTTGCACATTCCTCTCGTAACCATAGTAATTCAGAAATAACGATGAAATAGGCGCTACGCTTTTCATATCTCATATTCTGTATATCATTTTATCTTTGGAATAGTGATTTGGTATAATATGATAATAAAATTGGACAACTGATTCAAAACCCCTCAACTTGAGATGTGAATCGACATAACATCTCTAGTGACAGATATTTTTTATTTTAATATTGGGATGAATAATGCCCATATTTGCATGTGTGTAAAATGAAATGCCTTTGCATAGCTTTTGCAATTGAGCTTGATATTTGAAAGTGTCTGAAAAATGAAAAGGCTTTTGCAGTACCGTATTTTACGTAAAAATTAGAAATAGGGGGCTCTTATTAGAATGTTATTTTGGTGGAGAAAAAAACAGAGTTGAAAGATAAATTTCGTGGTTTATGCTGACAGCCTGAAATGTTTATGTACGACAAATATATTTTCTTCAGAATTAAATGCCCATAATTAAGGCTGCATATAACACACGAGTGTGTATTATACGTGAATAAATAAGTCTTGTGTACATTGATCAATCGGAAGGGGTGCTAATTGGGATTGTTCACTAGCCAATATCTTAGCAAATGTCGCCGTGGGCGCATTTTAGAGCGGGGCACTTATTGCGTCGAATACGGTACTGTAAGAGAAAAGCTAAAAAATGAATTTCTAACATTCCTTGTGAATACTGTTATAGTCATGCTCATACCAATGAAAATCGATGCTTACAGAATTTTGTGCAATCTGAGGGCATACGTACAGACATGGGCCGGATCTTACACTTAGTGTGGGCATCGATTCATATTTCAGCATCAATCATTGGTCACAGTCGGTTTGTTCAACCAATCAATCATCAATGCTAATCAGCTAAAAGAGTTCTTTTACACTTTTATTTTTCATAATATAAAAAATCCCAAAAGAGAGAGTGACTTACCTATAAATAACTTAGCATCTACTTTAGGGTATTTCTGTATGAGACTCTGCACAATCATTAAAGCTGCATCCATCTCATCTTGTATACAGAACAACAGCTCATACTGAAACAAAGAACACAGAGGTTAAATACATGGACATTAAAATCCCCAGGATACTGTGGCAAAATATACTATCAATTCCATTTCACCACCACTGCAAATATTTGCGCCATTTCTAATCTGAATAAAACATTGAAAGATTAAAAGCTTTCTTTCATTTTGCTTTATGACTATAGAAGCACGGACATAATATTCTGTTTTCTTCTGAATAGAGCTCTTCTTGCATATACTGAAATATAATACTCCTCATGGCACTGCATCAGCGACATTGTATCCTTCAGATATACACAACCCTCTCATGCCAATATCATGATTGACAAAACACTCCATCAACATCCAACAACGCAATTTGTGGAATGAACATGTTCGTGTGTACATATCATTTTCCCTAATCGATTGAAACATGAACCAAATATGTCATGTTTATTACATTTGGGTCATCAAAGATCCAGTTAGATCAATAATTCAAACACTTGTCCATTGATGGTGTCTCCTGTATGCATCTACATCCCACTGACTCCATCTCCCACTAAGACCAAACATCGACAAGCGTCACGTGTACAAATTCAATTTCTGGATAAAATCAACAAACCATACTCTGAAAAACAAGGCATCCTGATGATCCACCAATGAAAACAATACATCTAATTCATTTATCAGTCTGTGTATGTCCGCAGCAAAGAAAGATGGGTAGATTAAACAAAAATTACCGTCCTCGTCACTGAAATCGATGACTGATGATTATCACAGTGGCGTATTTTCTGATGAGGTCAGAACCCTCAATCTTGAGGCTCTGAATAAATATTGACTCGAGAAGAATCACTCTTATAAAGTTATTTCATTACTTTCATTTAGCCAAGCCGTTCAAGACATCAGTACTAGTCATGAACATCTCTGGAATACATCATTTACACAAACTGTTTCATCAACATGCTTCATCTACTCCTTCAATTAGGACATGTGCAGCAGTAATAAGGTTCTCCATCACTGATCATGCTGATTCAAGTTATTAATATCTAATTTAACCATCAAATATGAAATAATAATTGTTAAATAAATATCACTTGATGTAATTTTTTCATCAAATGGATGCTATTGTTTACAACTTATAAAAGTAACATGCTCCTCCTTTTGTAGAAAAAAAACGTTTAAAAAAAATTTGGTTAAGGATTAAAGAATTCTGAAAATGCAGTCTTGGCCAAAATGTTTTTCTTGTCTACTAACCTAAAATTGTCTTGGCATCATTTTTAGTAGACTCTAGACTTTCTTGGCAGAGCCAACTGGAGTAAACAAAATTTGACTAGACACTAGAGGACGAGTTCCAAACACTGACGTCTACAGGACCCAGGGCAGTTATACACTGAACTTTCACATGCTGAAATGTCATGCCTTCATCTTTGGGTAGTAGAGATGATATTGTCTGCTTATATAAGATAAGATCATACTTATTGCAATACACTCCATCAGAGAACAGATGCAATGTGAAAAACAGCTACAGTTAACATTTAAACAACACTTCAAATATGCCTGCATAAAAGAAAAGTAAAAATAAAAATAAACTAAGCCATGAATAAAATATCTTAATGATGGATGTTGATGCATCATGACTTATTGACTGACATGACATTAGAGAAAACATTGGAAAAGGCATCCTCGTACTTGTATAGATGCTTCTATAAAGGACATTTGCACATATACACGTAAAGGGGTCACCCAAAACACAGAATACGTCAAATTGAACATTCTGAATGGAAAATGTGTTACTCTTGGAATCTCTATGAAATGAAAGATTGTTTTGGAAATATTCTCTCACTGAAGACTAAGTTAACCACAGTCAAGTACCAGTCTCATAAATCGTACATGCTCTAGTTCAAATATCACTTCTCAGGGACCAGTGCACTGTTTGCCTCATCCGGACAGCATTATTGACGTTATTTGAATCTCATTGTCATGTAAAGATGAAATGACGTCACATTAGAAACAACGTCATAGCTGAAGATTGTTGACGTCACTCGACAAAATGTGGTTTTCTAGCTCAGCGGTGGTGATCAGTGCATTATTTGCTAAAAAAAGATTACCCACAAGAAATAATGTGTAATAAAAGAATTTAAACACAAGAATTCTGACACTTGTTTCGTAAAACCAGTATGACACACATGCTCGCATAATAATCTCTAGTTCTCTGTAAATTTCATACAAGACTTTCAATTGAACCTTCATGATTATGATTGTTTGGTTACATTGATAAACAAGATTAATTGATCAAATTCATTATAAGCGGCATTAGAAATTACGGCAATGAAGGGTCGTTGAAGGTTTTCTTCTTAGTACCTTATTTCCAGAGATTAACTAAATTTTCAATCATGAACATAAGGTTAGGACAAGAAAATTTCTATTTTTGCACTCTGATAGTTCAGCAACCTAAGTACCAGTGATGAACCAACGTGTCCTAGCTGTACATTTACTGTCCACAGGCGTCACTGGGAAATAGTAACCCTTTGTTGGTTGGATTTGATCTGCACGACCTTCAACTGATGCCACCAGTAGGGCTGCACCGAATACACTATGAGGCGAATACAATTCATATCACGAATATAGGGTAATGAATACGAATATTAATTCACAATTACAATAACAAGTCAGCAGTTTATGTATTATTTATTATATTCAGTGAAACAATAACATCATAATTTATTTGACATGGTTTGTTAATTATTAATAAATTATTCATTTATATACTGCACTTATCCAGGTACTAGCATCTGCTCAAATGCGACAATGACCAGTGAAAACTATACTATCAAATTAAATATTATTAGAGTGTTGTCATTGAAAGAAATCTATGCATATAATATGTTGTTATGGATATTTTTAGGTACAGGGTATGTCAATTTACATGATAGCATATTCATAAATATTTGATTCTAGTGGCCATGAATAACGATTAATTCATAAATGGTTACGGTTCGATTTACTGAATACGGGAGTAAATCTATCAGCCCTAGCCACCAGTTACTTACGTTTAGAAAAGAAACATAGAAACGTTACATGTTTTCTTGATTTTAGAAATGCTAACTGGGTATTCTACATTTACCGACTCCCAAAAGTCTGGCGAAAATAGTTCCCCCATCAATCACAACACCAGCTGTATATTCAGAGAAACTACATTTGTATGTCCTGATCAATTCTTCTCATCTGTCCCTTCCTGACACCATCATAATCAAATCAAAACACGTATTTCTAGCTCAAACTCCATTTATCTTTCTCAACATGATCAGTGATAATACAATTTCGCAAGGAGCTCCTAGCATAGCCCCTTTCCCCAAAATGTCAAAAACAAAATTTCCTGTTAATAAATAGCATTGGGTTTATTACGAATACAGGAAGCTCCATCCAGAAGGAAGGGACATCGCTCATGCGATGAAATCAATGGAGACTGAAGGTGATGAGAATTATTTGCGAGTGGAAGTAAAATGTCAGTGGCCATTATTAAACCAAACAGAGATGTGAACTGCTATAGGAAACAACACTATTAGGGATTAGTTCAAGCGTTACTGGCAGTCGTTACTGGCAGTCCAGTTATTGTATGGAGATTGTCTGTCAAGACTAATGCACAGCCTGCTCCTAACCAGCAGACTAACTTTGATACCACAGCTCACATGGCTTTGTCACATGACCCCACCCTACCTATAGCTTCCTAAATCAGTAGGTTGCCATGGTGTCGGTTTCCAGTCATTACTGATTATATCCGATGCAACAGTTTTCTGGATAGCTTCACAAATTAGGTTTGTAACACCCCTCTGGCAAAGGACAGGAAAATAATTTGTTACTGGAAAAATTCATGATACTTAAACAATATTTCTTTATATTCGAACCTGACCTACATTATGTTCAGGTTATTTTGAGAAAACACACATTTTAGTAACAATTTGCCGGAAGTTCGAATAACTAATTCATCACTACATTTATAATCCTTTAGAAACTGAAAGAAATATCATTGACAACGATCTCGCATAATATTTCCTGCTTCTGTTCTAAAAATCATAAAAGGTCATACTGCGGTCAAAGACAGAGAGAAAATCAATACATAAATATTGTCAAGTTAAACAGGCAGCAGAAAATATGAAATAATATCAATAATTGGCCAATCCTGCAGTTTGCCATGCTTGGTCAATTCATGAAACAACATCCTCAATTTCCCTAAATGTCTTCCAATGAACCTTCGAATGAAGCAGACAGAAGTGTCGGATTCTGACATTTGTGACTGAGTACTCTCACAGGATATGTTAATCCTCATTGATCCATGAGCTGGTCAGTCTAAATAAACAAAATCACTGATATGGAAGCTGCTCTGGCCATTGGTCACTTCCAGACCACTGGATATTGACCATCTGAAATAGTGATGGAGACCGCTTCAGTTACACTTTCTGATAAGCAAGGTCAAAGTTCTCTGAAATTCATACTGGACCTTCATGGATTTTGAAATACAAATTTTGTATGATGTGTTGAAGCCTTGAGACAGCTGTGCTGATAAGAAGACTTTATGAGCTTCTGGAATCACAAGCAATAATTCTGACATGAAATGTCAGTTTTAGATTCATTGAATACCTTTGGCAATCAAAATTTCATATACGCAATTGAAATTTCAAAATTTTGATTGTTTGGTTCAGCCTTACTTTTCTTGACAAGAATAATAGAACAATTCATAATATTAGAAATGACAAGAACCGTAGGTCTTTGAGGTTTTAATCTGAAGTAACTATTTCTATAGTGTCATTCCTTTATTATCTATTTTGCTGAAATTATTTGAAAAAATTCATAAAAAGATGGTCTACGGATATTAACTTTTTGTGTTTAATGAGGACATTCCAGAGTAGGCCATAACTAATTCATCAGGTGATCCATTCAATCATTCAACAGGAGTAATTGTTATCTACATGAAGAATAATGGGAATGACTCACAGGTAACAGCTGCCATGGCTCATGTATCTATCTATGATAGC